AACAATCTGGTCTAACAAAAGGATTTGATTAAACTAAAGGCTAGATTACGGTAGATTTCAAAAGTTAAAGAGTTTTAGAAAGGCTAAAGTTTAAAGAACTGTAACAGTTTTCAAATTCAAGAGATGGAGATTCATAGATTCCAAAAACAACTGCACAAATCAACTGCACAAATCCAGCTGTTCACACGCTATCATTGGCTTACTTTCCCCTCAAATCATCATTAAATTCGAAGGATGTGTGCAATTTGTGAATGAGATAACATCAATGGTGAAAAGAAGAGAAATCGAGTCCAGAATTGGTCTTTCTCCAATCCATCCATGCTAATCCCCCGCGAACACACCTGGATGAGTGCATTGAGCGGTGTGTCCCTTGATTTCCCCTTACAAATCATTGAGACTCATTAACTGTCAATGATGCCTATTTATTGGATGGGAAGATCACGGAAAAAAGCCTCATGGAGAAGCCTCAATGTCTCATGCTGGAATCGAACCGAAAGCGAAATCGAAATCGAAAGTGACCTTCTGTCTGCTAAACCAACGCTATGCCACAGAGCCAATGACGATGAGATTTATATAATTCTTATTACACAATTTTCCTCAAATTCCAAAAAAAAGTCTTGAATTGCCCACTATCGAGATTGAACTGATGCCCTTCTGTTTACCCATCGCTTACGAGACAGACGCTTTGCCACTGAGCTAAACGGGCAATGAATCTAAAGAAAAGAAATGGATAATGAATATTTATTTATTCATCAAAACATCAAAAGAGAAGAATAAGCTGTTCAAATGTTCAAAAGGGAAATTTCTCACGGCCATTCAAAAGCCCCTATAGCTCAGTGGTAGAGCGTTGGTCTTGTAAACCAAAGGTCGGTAGTTCGATCCTGCCTGGGGGCAATTTTTGAAGAATTTTTTATTATTTTTTTTTATTTTTATTAAAAACAATTGAATATTTTGTTCAAGGTTAAAATAAAAAGAGAAATGTATGAGAATTTTTAAAAAAAATGGGAAATTAAGCAAGTGATAGTCTCATTTCTAAATGTCTTGAATTTTCCTTTAATTTGTCCAGGTGTTCCGGTTTGACGGTTGTCACATTTGTGATTGACTCAAAGCGGCGTACTATCTCAAAGTTCCCATTGGCATCGTCTTTGTTTTTGATATCTAGCCGAAGTTTTGAAGTAAAAGTGTTCCAATTCAAAGATGTTCCAAAGCTGTAAAAAAGGAATTTTTTTACAAGTTACAAATTAAAGTCATCAAAAAAGCTGAAATCTCAAGCTCTGGACATAATAAATGAATGAATTAAACTATCATTTGCATTATTTTAAAATTTGACTCTAAACTTTTTGTTTTTCTTATTTCTCGTGGCACATGATTGGAAGTGAATCGATCGAAAACAATGAGAGAAAAAAGAAGAGCTTATCTTTTTGTCGACATGAAGAAATCACTAAACAGCACTAATAAATTTTCCAAGTTTTGCCGCTGTTAGCATTTTTAAAACAAAATCTCGTCATTGTTTCTTTGTTTCTTTGAAGTTTCAATTTCAATTGACTATTTGTCTTTGTATTCTCAAATTCTCAGGTTTTCTTCAAGTGGATCAATGGTGCTTTTAAGCGTTGGTGAGTATGATTACTGTATTTTCTCTAATAGTAGTGCACCCCAGAGCCGAGTTGGTGACTATTTTACGGCTTTCAAAGTTTTCACAGAAGCTCAACACTCTAATCCCCCACTAGATCTCATCGTCAGCTACATTTTCCGGCCCCACATCGATAGGTTCTGACAACCGGTTCTCGAGATTTCGAGCAATTTAGGCAAGGCTCAGAGTGCACTAATATTAGAGAAAATACGGTATCTAGCCAAAGGTATTTCAATCAGACCTGTGAGCCAGGTTCTAGCAGGAACTTTATCCAAGCCAAGCCAGTAATAAGGCAAATAATACCGTATTTTCTCTAACAGTAGTGCACCCCGGTGAGCCGAGTTGGTGACTATTTTACAGTTTCCAAGCTTTTGCAGAAGCTCAACACTCAAATCCCCCACTAGATCTCATCGCCAGCTACATTTTCCGACCCCACATCGATAGGTTCTGATAAGCGGTTCTCGAGATTTCGAGCAATTTAGGCGACGCTCAAGGTGCACTACTATTAGAGAAAATACGGTAATTAAAGCCAATAAAAGTTCTAAAAATAGAAAAGTTATAAGTTATAACTATATAAAAGTTATAAAGATCTATTTAAAACCCTTTGATTAATCCAGCAGAAGTTGTTGCTAATTTTTTAATTTCACTCCAGCATCCGGGAAAATAACGAACCAAGCCAATTTTTTTGAGCTCAAAGTTTACTTTGCATGCTGTAACTGGACAGAAAACTTATCCTCAGATTTCCCTATGCGTAATTCTATTTTAAAATCACTAAAAAGACAATAGACTCAACTATGAATAGATCAAATTCCAGTATTTATTTTAGAAATCTTCTACTCATTACTCTTCATCGTGATTGCTTGTATTCTATTGGCGTCAATCAATTGGATGATTTGTCATAAATTTCATCCAGAATCCGAGAAAATCCCACTTTTAATGGTAGAAGAGGGCAAAGAAATGGAAACAATTTGAGTTCGAAATTTGACATTCTTTTGATACTGGTGCTAGCATTGTTTTTGTGTTTTCGGGTCAAATAAACTAATCTTAAAAAGAAACAGAACACTCTAAGAAACAGAACACTTTACTGAGGTAAAATTACAATTCACTCAACTTCTAGAGCTGAAAAAACTCACGGTTTCCGTTTACAAATCAATCGTGGAAACTGAGAGTCAAATCCGGCTAACCTAATGTCACTTTCTTGACACAGATCATCTAGAAAATTTGAATGACAATTTCATTTTCAATTCTTAACCACTATTCTCTGTCAGTCGCTTTCTAAGTCCTTTAACGAGTATTTTTCTATATACAGTACCCAACAAAACTATAAAACCAAGAGTTTTTAGAGGAAAAATGACCATTCTTGAAATTAAGCAAAAGTCCAAAGTTAGTGTATTTACTCGAATAGAAGACCGGCCTCGATTATAAGACCGTCTCGAATAGAAGACGGAGTCTAGGGGATGATCGAAAAAAATAAAAGACCGTCTCGAATATAAGACCGGTCTTATATTCGAGGGATCCTTTTTTCTATTCTACGCGAAAGTGACCGTACTCAAATTACGGGAAAAGAATAAGGGAATTTACCCAATAGGGTAAAAAATATTATATTTTCATTCAATAGCACAATTTTGTTGCTAAATGTTACAATAAATTTCTATAAAGAAGTTTTTTTTAAACGCTCGTTACTTTCCTGAAAATTTTCGTGAATGCAAATAATAAAAGACCGTCTTGAATAGAAGACCGGTCTCGAATAAAAGGCAGGATCTAGGGGTGATTAGGGTGATTGAAATCTAGGTGATGAAGGTGATCTAGGGGGTGATTGAGAAAATAGAAGACCGGTCTTCTATTTTATAGAGTCTTCTATAGAAGACCGGTCTTCTATTTTTTTAAATACGGTAAGTTATCATTTTTTGATAAAACTAAAGTAGTATCACTCAAAGGAAACAAATTTTTTCTTAACAAACTTTACTGGACAAAAGTTATAGGATCTTTACATTGGAAATTGATAAAGACTGAAATGCAAAAGTATTCGGGTTTTCCATAAATTCTTTTGGGGGGTGGGACAAATGCGACCTTTTTTTGCGCACCTGGACATTTGCGCACCTTTTTTTTGCTGGAAAAGGCCTTAGGAAAGGTCGTAGAGCTTCAAAAATGTTTTCATAGGAGGGAATCGTATGCGTAGATTCCGAATTTCGACAAATCAGACCTCGCTGACACGTCAAATTTGGGCTAAAAGTGCAAAAACTACGCAACTTAACGCTTTTCCGATTCCCTTATATGGAAATATTTTCGAAGCTCTACCGGCTTGCCTAAGGCCTTTTTGCAGCAAAAAAAAGGTGCGCAAATGTCCAGGTGCGCAAAAAAAAGGTCGCATTTGTCCCACCCCCAATTTTTGATTTTTAAAGTTTATTTGTTTAGGGGTTTGTTTTTTTGTTTCAAATTTGCAATTATATTTTGCTGAATCAGCCACATGATTCACCAGCAAAGTTCTAAAATATAATAAATGCGGTCATTCAGATGCACATATTGAACAAATTGATCAAACTTACATAAGCCACCATTCCCTTGAACAATTGGAAGAGGAAGAAGACTTCTAAAAAGTATTAGAATGTCATTTTGGTTAGCTTTTTAACTAGATTTGGGCTATCAAAAATTATCAAAACAAAATCGGAAATCCGTATGAAATCCCAATCTCATAAATTTCAACTCCAAAGCCGATTTTTGTCCAATCCTCACTCAGTAAAACTTGTTTAAATCGGTCTAAACTTTGATGCCAAATATCTTGCTTTACAAAGTTCCTTTGGAAAAAGTAAAAGCATATTCAGAGTCAGCATAGGCGATGCTAAAAAGCCCCGTGGCTCTCGTATTAAAAAGCCAACTTGACCTGGTGCCTTTCCCTAGTAAACCTTTGTGTGAAGTATTGCAATGCTAAGGCTCAAATCCAACTCATAAAATTTCTTTCGATCAAAAGAATTTTTGTAAACTATTAGTTTGCAAAATTTGTTTTGTAATTTATTTTGCAAATTGCTGATATTCTATAGTGTTTTTTTTTGAAAAAGCTTTGGAAAACTTGTTATCGTTTTTTTTGTTGACATTATCACAAAGCCAACTAAACCCAGCTAGACCTAAAATCACATCCTTTGGAAAACTTTGGAGCTTGAAAAACCTAAAATCACATCCTTTGGAAAGCTTTGGAAAACTTGTTATCGTTTTTTTTTGTTGACAATATCACAAAGCCAACTAAACCCGGCTAAACCTAAAATCACATCCCAAAAGTTCCCAAAAATCATATTTTTCACAGAAAAAAAAATCAAAACAACTTAAATCACATTCACATTCAAAAGAATCATTTTTCCTTTTTCTTTTCCATTCAATACGGTCCATTGTACGGATTGCCCGATTGGAGCTGAAATTTTGAAGATTTTTTGAAGATAAGTTAACTCAAAAATGCTGTAAACTTTAGTTTTTGCTAATTTTCTAATTTTCTAATAATCTAATATTGAAATTTTGCAACAAAATTAGTTTTTTTATTGTTGTTTCATTGTTATTCAAACTAGAGAGCTAGTTTTTTAAACTCTAGAATCTAGGACAAGATTTAGTTTCAAAAGTTCAGTCCAATTTTCAGTTCAAGATTAAAAACTGAGCTCTAAGTTAAGTTTTAACTTTACGACTACCAAATAAAGCTTTTATTCTATCTATTAAACTTATTTGGTGTTTATTAAAATTAGTTCACTTCAATTGGATCGTCCTCGAAGGCGTCCACGCGGTTGCCAAGGACATATCCGTCTAATGGATGAGGTCCCATCAATAAGCGTTCCCTCTGGTTGAGATGGGTTCTCTAAAATTAGAAATATAAAACGTTTATGAACTTTGATATTTTTTTAAAAGGAAACAGTTGACCAAAGTACATCAAAAATTCGTTCAATGGCTTTGCACTAACTATCTGTTTCTCAAGATTTCTCAAAACTTGAAATTGTTAGTTACTTCACTAGACTTAGCAATCTACACACTCTGGAGATTTACAAGTAAACAAAACTTAATTTTACGTATTTTCTTACCGCGATCGGTCTCCAGCCGGCGTCGAGGCACGTCTGGAAGTAGCACGTTGCCCGGATGTGGTCGGTGAGCGGCCCGAGCTCAACTGGGGATCGCTCTCGAGGGCCAATAAATCTAAAAGTTGGATTTTAATGGATAAAACTAATTTAGAAGTTCTGCAGAAATTGAAGTTTCGCTATTTGACTGTAAAATGGAATCAAAAAAAATGAAATTACTGGAGCTTTCAGCTTGGCTTCGAAAACCACCTCTTGATGAAAGCAATGATCGCTGACTATGAGATTCATATCGCAAATTAAAGTTTTAAAAAATGATATTAAGATCTTAGAACAATTTTAACAAGTTTACGCAATCATTTGCAATTTCACTCACCCTGGCCTCGCGTCGTTGAGGAACCAGTTCTCAATGGGCTTTTCTCGCGGGTTGATGGTCATCCCGGGTTGCCCTTGTTCATCCAAGATGAACGCCTCGACGGGCTTCTGAAAACGGGCTCTGAGTTGCTTAAAAGATAAAATCTAAAAAAGACTGTAGTTTTCTTTTCTCTTCCCCCTTGTATTTCCTCTTTCTTCTCTGGCAACGGGCTACCGGATAGCACAATGGTTATAGCATTTGCCCGGAAAGCAAAAAAGGTCGAGGGTTCAATCCCCCTCTCCTAAAATCTTTCTTTGACATTTCTTACTTTACTTCATTACAATTAAATCAGATTCCATTAAGCCATTTTAGCTCTTGATTGTAAAGTGGTTCAAAGACAGACCTGGAACTAAAACTACTCGGAGAAAATTCGTTGTAATAACGTTTTTGAGCAAACTCTAAAGTAGTCGCAATTTGTTTTAGAAGATAAAAAAGAAAAACTGCAGTTTGAAGTTAAAGTTGGTTTATTGATTGATCAAGGTTTAAAATTAGGAGCTGAGTTTTAATCATCGGTTATAGCAAGGCAAAGGTGTTTTAGTTTTAACCTTACAACATTAAAAAGATAACTTTTAACACTTCACTAAAGTCAATCACCATATCAACACATTTCTAACAAACTGTGTTTAACTTCAGCACTTCAGCTATCATTTTGCTTTGAAAGAGATCAAAAGTATTCCCCGATTCGCTTGTACTATTGTAAAGTTGGTGTCCGTGGATTCTCTCTGAAATGACCATCTTGATCCTCAAAGAGTTTCCCTCCGCCAAAGTGGAAAAAGATGAGATTTTTCAAACCGCCTTTGCCCCACCCCAACCAAAAGATGGTTTTGTTCAATTAGGGAAATTAAACTTAACCACTTTACTTTATTATCCAATTTTTAACTTACCATAATCTCTCGTGCAGCCTCTTCATACGGTGTGCCGATCCATTGGGCGAACATCGGATCATCGGTGTAGATCTGAATGTGGTAATGGTTTAAAATATGTGGAATCCGTCTATTTTCTTATTACAATATTTCAAAATAAAAAGTATTTAACCGATAAGTTAAATGTCTTTGAAGTTCTCCAAATAAAGCTAGATAGTCAGTGTTCTGATTCTAATTGACAGTTTCAATAAGTCAAAAACTGATCTTTCCAATATCTCTAGTTCCAATCTATGTTTCTAATACCTATAAGTTGTTAGTTAAACGCTTAACGTACTTACCTAAAGCACTTAAAAGCTTGATTTAGATTCTATTCTGCCAAATATTGCTTTTTCTTAAGTTTCTGAGTTACTCACTTTATCATAGCGCTCGTTCCTCATCACCAGCTCCTCTTCCAGGAACTCGAATTGCTCAGGAAGCTGAAATTGAAAATATATTATGGAAATAATGAATTGTTGCAGGTTTATATTCTTTTACATAAAACTAGACTTGTAAATTTCACCTGTGACTCCAAGACGATCTCCGGTGGTCTCTCGAATTGTCTCCATCCTCTCTCCCCAGAGGCGTCTTTCTCCACCGATATGTGACTAGCGTGATCCGGCTAAAATAAAAAAAAATATTAAAATAAAATCTATTTTAGAAAACCAGTGTAATCAAACTTCCAGCTTTTATTCAATCAGCTTAAATTTGGTCACTTAGTCAATGATACAAAAAATGAAAGGCTGATTGAATAAAAGCTAACTTTTTAAGGACGATAGCTTTTAAAATGAGTATTTTTTTAGAAAGCATAGGCTCAAGAAAAAATAAATACTCTCTAATCTACTTTACTTATAAACTTGCTTAGCTAAAACTTTTCAAGATTTACCGTGTTTGGTGGGATGTATTTAAGCCATTTCATCACGGCTATCAGTGGTGCCTGAAATTTTCAAACAAATTTGTTTACTTATGTTTTTATTTTAAAAAGCAAAGCTTTAGTTGTAAGCTTGAAATTTATCAAAATTAATTCTCATTTTCTTTTCAACTCACCACTCCATCATGATATTTCTGGTAACGGGCGTTCGCCTTCTTCCATGCGTCGCTCGAGATCCATTTGGTGATGCTAAAGTGATGATAAAATGATAGTAAAATGAAAATTAAACACTAAATTTAAACTAGTAAGCTAATATTAATAAAGCTAATAGTTTTAAAACTTCATTACAAGTTAGTTTTGGTGTAAAATTTAAACCCACTTGAGAATCATCGACTCGAACTGGTCCGCTGGATGAGCCGTTGCATTCGTCTAAAAACAAATTAAATAAGAAAGACAAGTTCTAGAAAGATTCTTACAACTCGGCTTAGCTTATTTTAAAACTTTTGTATTCAAAACTGTAACTAATTTTAAAACTTGATTACTCTTTCAAAATCCTTACCAACAATAACTTGTCCGGGATGGAATCGTCCGGGATCTCGAAGTGGTCAAGGTCGATCAGCTGTTTCTGGCTGAAAGTTTATGAGCTTATTCGAGCATGGAACCAAATTAACATATCAAAATTCAATATCAAAATATTCTAAGATAAATTCCTGCTAACTTACACGATAGCAAGGAGAGCCCACGTCTGATCCCGTTGGCTTTTCCCTTCGAAGAGTTTGTTCGCCTTGCAGTTGTTGACGAGGCGCTGTAAAAACTTATTAGAGAAAGTCACCAACCTAAGGTGGAATATGTAAACCTGATTTTGCTAATAAAAAAGTCGATGCTTTGAAGGAAAAGAATATGACAACAATCAGAAACCCTCCATACAAAAATCTGACTTTTATATTACTATTTTTTTCCTGATTATGGTTTAATAGAAAATTCCATCTAAAAGAAAAACACATTTACCGTTGAAAAAACAGATATTGGTTTAAAAGCGTTGTCGATGAGAGAATCGAGCTCGGATCAAAAAATGTTGTAACGGAGAGTACTCTCGGCCAAAGAGAACTATTTTTAAGGCAAGCAAGGAAGTCTTACAAATTGATAGCTAAAACTATAAAGTCAAATCCCTTGTGTTTGCAAGCCATTTAGGAAAAATTAGAAGCGGATTCGGAAAGCCCATGAAAAACTGAACAAGATAGAATTGGTCTCGTTTTGAAATTCTACCCTAAGTTGGAGGCCTTCATTAGTTAGTTATTTTCAGAAAATGTGATAAATTCTAAAAGAATCCTATTTTTCAATGTTAAATTAGTTCTTGAAAATACTGTAAGTGTAGGATTGTAGTACTAAAGATACCGTAAAGCTTCAGTCTTGTTTCGCTAAACTGGTCGCATTGCTTATTAAATTCTATCTTTCAAACTATTTTTGACCAATAGGTTTTTAGATATTTATTGGGTTGAGGAGAATGAAATGGCGCTAAAAATCAAAGAACTTTCTAAAACTTCTAAAACTTCGTCAAATGATATGCGTTTGATATCAGTAGAAAGATTAACTAATTCTCTACCAAATGACATTTAAAAGATAACTCAAACAGCGCTTCAGCTCAACAAAAGACCATTTTTTTTCACAAAATCTATAAACTGTCATCTAGAGAAAACCATTGGAGGGAGTTTCCTGAAAATTTAGCAACTTATGTAATTAAGTGTGCTCTATCTTTTTTAAGTAGACACCAAAGAAGGTTTATGTGGCAGAAACTGTTCAAACGATGAGTTGAACTCTGCCATTTTGACATTTTGACTAGCTTTCTTTGGAGTCTATAAGCTCCACGAAAGAAAAGCGTTGTGGAATCTCTCACAAGTTATTTTGTAGAGAAATGGTGAACCCTTTTGATAAAACAAAACGTGTATTTAAAAAAAGCTTTATGTTTGCAAAAAGTATCTTTAAAGTTTGACACCATATAATTCTCCTTAACCCAATAAATTTAAATTCAAATATTCAAATTTACAGTCATCGATTGCTTTTTTGGAGAGCCGCGAGATCGCGCGTTGTATCCAATATTCCAAGCACATCTGCTTGATAAGCACACGTCTCTTGTACTCCGAAATATACCTAAAAGTAAGATTAAACAAGTGTTTCAAAGCTTTTCTAGATTCTTTAAATTCTAATTTCAAAGCTTTTCTAGAAATAAGATTCTTGATTCAATCAATTTACTGCTTTATCGATGGGTGGAATTTCCATGGGCTGATCGCCGTGTCCGGTCCATTCGTTGGCACGTGATAGACGAGTTGAGCAGGCAGCTCTCCAAACTAAAACACGAAATTTTAGAAAAAACACAAACTAAGGCTCATTTTGTTTCAAAGAGGTAGCTAAATTAACAACTTTGCCTTTTAAAAGTTACATCGATCAAATTTTTAAGTGAATTTTGCTAAAGTTAACCTTCTTCTTCATCTTCTCATTCTTCCTGATAATCTCCTCAATCTCCTTCTTCTTTTCCTTTTCTTTCTTCTCTTTTCCTGCATCAACTCCTTGTGCAATCGGGCCTTGTTGTTCTTCGCCAGTCTCTAAAATTCAAGTTTAAAATATTTTTATAATAACAAGTGCATTTAAACTTTATGGTTTCATTGAAATTTGCCCACCTCAAATCGATTCCTGAGTGTAGTCGGGTCGAAGCGCGGGCTCATCCATTTCGGGGCATAGATCATCACGTATTTGACCACATACTTGTACGTCTAAACAAGAATACAAGATATATTATACAAGAATTAAGGAATATATAGAAGTATAATATTGATTATATAAATTAAGCTAAAAAGCTCAACAAGACGAGTGTAATCACCAAACCGCGAACGTGATGAACCCGTCCGGGTTCTTGTATAAAACTTGTATAAAACGCTCAAAGAAAACCAATAAATGAAGGCAAACATGAAAGGTTTTCGCTGCAAAATTTCTTGTGAAGAGAAACGACGAAGCTGGTTTGAAAGAGTAGAAGCAGCTATTTGTAGAGCCGTTGCGTCCACGCATTGTTGAACTTTTTAGCTTTATACAGAATAATGGTTAAAGATAAGTTAAGATTAAGTCGGTTAAGTAACAATTTACCGGCGAGTGGGTGATGAGTCCTTGCACGAAGATGACCGCCCCATAAACAGATCCAAGTGCGGCGGCGGTCCTGAAATGAGAAAAGGTTATAGATAAAAGCAAAAAAAAAATACCTTAATGTTAAGAATCTTAATCGAAACAGAAACAAAAACAGATTTTCAAAGCTATACAATAACGTTTACGGTTAAGCGAATTCTAAAAACTGCTTCTACAAAACAAGTTCTTCACAGTTCAAGCCCAACTTCATTTAAAAAGAATCCTATTAAAGGTTACAGGGGTGTGGCATATATAATGTTACGCTCTACAAAAAGATGATTTTCTTAAAAACCAAAAGAGTTGATAGTTTTTTTCGTTTAGATATTTAAAATCTATGGACATTTTTTCACTAGATCCACTGAAAAATTTAAAACTTTATTCGATTCATATAAGAATTTAAACGTGGAAAAATGAAATGCTCTCGAAAATATGAAACTTGTCAAAAATGTGTCCATTTTGTTAGCCAAGATAAGCTCGCATTTGCAATAGTGGAGCTGGGAGTGGGACAAATGCGACCTTTTTTTTGCGCACCCGGACATTTGCGCACCCGGACATTTGCGCACTTTGCCCATTAGCGCACCTTTTTTCGCGTTTTAAAAAAGCTCTAAAAAGCTAATATTAACCAATTTCTATTCCAAATGTTGTGTTTCTAGGTAATTTGAGGGTGTCGAATTCAAATTTTGACATATCAGAGCTTGTGGAAACAAACGGACGGAGTTATATAAAGAGAAAAATCGACAATTTTCTGTAATTTGATCTAGCCGTTTTGTCTTTCAAATTGGTTCCACACGCTCTGTTATGTCAAAATTTGAATTCGACACCCTCAAATTACCTAGAAAAACAACATTTGGAATAGAAATTGGTTAATATTAGCTTTTTAGAGCTTTTTTAAAACGCGAAAAAAGGTGCGCTAATGGGCAAGGTGCGGAAAAAAAGGTGCGCAAATGTCCGGGTGCGCAAAAAAAAAGGTCGCATTTGTCCCACTCCCGTGGAGCTCAAAAATCACTACTTTTATAGTAATTGACTCTAAAAACGTATTAATGCAGACAAAGACGGAAAAAGACGATTTTTCAGAGGCCCCAAGCACGAATTGAACTGTTTTTCAGCATCGTAGGTATAGCATTTTTGTAGTGCTCGGCTAAGGTTGTTAAAGTCATTAAAAATATTACAGGTCTTCTATTTTATGTAAAATTGTAAAAGATTTTATGATTAGTTGTTGTTTTTCAGTTTAGTTTAATGTATTTTCTTAGAAAGCCAAAAAGATGCATCAAGCGCAACACAACAGGGTGATCAGAAATAACGCGTCCTTTTTTTCAAGGCTCATATTTCTATTATTTGTAGATCAAAACGTTTCATTTCTTTTTTTAATGAAAATTCATATAATTTTCTGCACATGTTTAAGATTTCATGACCATAGCATTGATAGATAATTTTTTATGTACGGTTAAAAATAGCTGGTCAAAAAACTAACGAGCCGCAACTCAAATTTAAGGGTTCCTTTCTCGATGATCTTATAAAAAAATATTAATCCATTTAATATTTTTTGAACTAAATTTGCTCAAACACAACAAAAACTTAACTTTTAGAAAGAAACTGCAAAGAAAAACTATTTTGTGGGTTTTTTTTTTGAAGAATTCCAAATTTGAATTGAGGCTTGTTAGTTTTTTGACCAGCCATTTTTGAGCGTTGATAAAAATTTATCTATCGATGCTATGGTCATGAAATCTTAAACATTTACAGAAAACGATGTGAATTTTCATTTAAAAAATAAATTAATCGTTTTGATCTACAAATAACAGAAATATGAGCCTAGAACGGACTATTAGGATGGGTTATTTCTGATCACTCTGTACAGGTCAAGTTCAACTTCATGTAAAAAGAAATCTATTAAAGACTATAGTTAAACTTCTTTAATTTTTTAAGCTAAAAGGTTTACCAGGTGAGGGTACAGGTGTTCCGGTTGCTCGCCATGTTGGCGGCGATCCAGTAGGCTAACTGGAGTGGTGGGCCTAACCACATGAACACCTGGTTGCGGTGGACCTGAAATTGGACAGAAATTGAAGCTTTCTAAGTTTTTAACTAAGTTATTAGTTCTGAAAATAGTTTCTTATCAATATCGAAACCATAGAGATTTAAAAATCTCAAGTCAACTTCTGGATTTAGATAGCTTACTTTACCATCCTCTATCGTACTATTGCAATTCAAAATTGAGATTAGTATACTTCTCAAATCTGCTTCAGATTACTGCACTTCTCAAATCTGCTTCAGGTTAGTCTACTTCTCAAACCTGCTTCAGATTACTGAACTTTCAAAAACCACTCACACGCAAAGCTTTCTCGATTTCCAGTGGACGGTTAACTTCAAACCATTTGAGTGTGCAAATCCATCCGTGCGGTGTTTGACTAAATTTGGATATAAAAAAGATATCTTGATATTAATTGTAAAGAATTTAGCAAAATTATGAATTTGACCAATCAAATTAACAAGTTTCAAACCACTTACGCTCTCCTAAATTGGGCAGCCATATTGAATCCCCAGGCAAACCCGAACAGAGCTACTTGCATCGCCAATTCAGGTCCCCAAATGAGATACCTGAAAAATATGAAAATTATTATTCTATAAACTTTCAAAAGTATTTATCGTACACTTTTAAGCTTTGTGAGAAACTTTGACAGGTTTGTAAAGACGAGAAACTCACGTATCGGCGGTGAATCGAGCGGAGCAGGTCCAGAGTGAGCCCATCTAAAATGTTAATAAAGAAAAATTGTTGTATTTGTGCATTTTAAGTTCATAATTTTATTCGTAACATAGCCAGGGATAACTTTTTTAAGATTACAACTTTAAAGCGAAAAGGCTGTCTAGTACGAAGGCTTTTTGATTGTAAATCTCGTTCGAAACACCAAAATTGATTACATCTTTACATTAGACAAGAAAAGTACACTAGCTATTACTTTTAAAATAGAGTATTTTATTTGAAAGTCTATTATCTGACCTGGTTGTAGCCGTACAAGGCGACGAACGAGTTAAACCAGAAAAAGACGTAGAAGGGGAACAGTGAAAGGGTCTGAAAGGTTATCGGACATTTGATACACGCCTGCCTCTTTTGCCATTGCCAATCTAACTTTGAGCTCAAATATCTTTGTGTCCAGCTGTCAAATTTAAATATTCTTAATGTCATTAGATGCGCCAAGTCATTCTCTATCGATTGGTATAAAAACTATTTGAATTGAACAGTCCAACACCAAGAAATTTGAGCTCAAAGTTGGTATGCCAATGGCAAAGCGGTGGGGCCACTGTGAGACCTTTTATACGCGCCCCGCCCTTTTTACCCTTGACAATCTAACTTTGAGCTCAAATATATTGGTGTTCAGCTGTCCAATTTTAATATTCTTGATGTCATTAGATGCGTCAAGTCTTTCTCTATCGATTGGTATAAAAACCATTTGAATTGAACAGTCCAACCCCAAGAAATTTGAGCTCAAAGTTGGATTGTCAATGGCAAAGGGGCGGGGCGCGTATAAAAGGTCTCACAATCGGTCTGAAAATCAATGTCGTAACTAAATTGATTAGTCAAGTTATTTTAAAGTTTAAGATTTAGATTTAAAGGTCGTTTTACAATTCTAAGTGTCTCTTATTATTCTTGGTTAACTTACGAATGGTCCAAGCCACCATCTCCTTTTTCCATCGATGTCCTCGTTGTATTGGTTGATCGATCGACCGCTTACCACCTGAAAAATTGATTGCTTTTAAAAGCTATAAGATTTAGGACAATGTATATTAGCAAAATACTGTATTAGGCTCATATTTATTAGTATACTGTATTATTCCAAATACTGTATTAGACTCAAACAATAGATTTTCATTTTTTGAGGATCCAAGTCAGTTCAAGCTTGGTAGAAGTTCTTGGAGTGCTGTAATGAGTCAAACCTTGATAACAATCATTACAGAACAATTATATTTATTGAAAATCGATCTCTAATACAAAATACTGTAACTATAAGTTCACTAGCAATTCTCGGAGTGATTTGCACTCAGTTTACTGTGAGAAATCCTTGAATTGATTGATTTTTGAAAATCTGATTCACTGAGAACTCACCATGTACGCGTTCCACGATTGGACTAACCAGTTCCAGGCCACTAAAATTGATTATTGCAGAAAATGAATGGATAAATTACCAAATTGGCTGCAAAGAGCGAGAAACCAATGGGAGAGGCGGCAAGCAACGAGGTTCACCTGAAATCGTTGAAATTGATAAGTTTGAGAGGTGAAAAATAATGATTTTGATAAGCTTATCTGGTTTTTGAAGATATTTCTTATTTTTTAAAAACTCACGGCGAAAATCGGCGGGTGGTCGAAGACGAGCTGGAATCCTGACCAGATTGCTGTCACAGAAACCACAAAATTCTGTGAGACGCTCTGGATGCACTAAAATAGATTTTAATTAATTGAATTAATTAATTAATTGTAATTTATCAGATTTGATTTTAAGAGTTACCTAAGCAACTCAAAATTCATTTTTAGATTCAACTTCAAAAGAATAAAGACTAGAACTCAAGTGGCTTCGGGTGGCAATGGTTTAGCAATGATTTAGCAATGATTGGAGTCAAGCAGCTGCTCAAAAATGAACTGACTAGAATTGATATCATTTTTAAAGTTAGTTTTGGAGTTTAAAACTTAAAGAGTTCACTTTTGGTGATAGCGATTAGGAGATTAAAAAGAAAAAAAATCAAGAATCAAGAATTAGAGAGTGATCAAAAAGTTCCCACACGCTTTACAGTTTGGGGTGCGACCCGCTTTAACCTTAGCAACGAGGATGATTCTGCTTAAGAATGGCCGAATAGCACAAAAGGTTAAAAGGGTTTCCCCAAAAGCGCTTACAACGTAACAAGAACACGTAGTATCCAACAATAGATTAATACTCTTGAGAAGAGTACAGATCGGATTGATACTAAGTCGATGGTGACACAAATGTTAGTAAAACCAGTCTCTCTACAATGTTAAACCAGTTATCTAAACAGGATTTAAAACCTGAAGGGTAGCATAAAGTAAAGTAAATTTATAAGGTTACTGTTTATTAGTACAGAACCGAAATGCAACAATACCCTTTACAAAAACAGCATGCGCATCAAAAATGAAACAACAAAGTCTCCCCCAGAAAGAAGGCAAAACCCGCAGACCAAAAAAAATAATTTCGGGAAGGGAGAAAAAGGACGAAAAATGCGACGCGAATAATTGCAAAATAGCAACGTAAATAGGAAGGAAACGGACGCGACCTTACAAAAGAAGCTTTTTTCAGCTAAATCCCAGATCGAAATTTGACTTACTAGTTTTTGAAGCTGAAATTCTGGGGAGCATTTCTACACCTAGACCATTCTGATCAGAGCTACCTAGAGATCAGAGCTACCTAGAGATCAGAGCTACCTAGAGATCAGAGCTACCTAGAGATCAGAGCTACCTAGAGATCAGAGCTACCTAGAGATCAGAGCTACCTAGAGATCAGAGATCACAGCTCTTCAAAGAAGCACTGTAGTTCGCTGGAGGGAAACTATTATGAACCTCACCTATTCGAACTTGTTTTCAATTGAAAAATCCTTCAAAAAGCCTTATTAAATTCACGATTTTGTTTTAAGTAACAGTTCAATCGTTATTTTGAAAGAATAAAATCTCTTGTTAAAATAAAAACGTAAAATATTCTTTAAAAACATGCGAAACTGTTGCCGGTGGCTGTTTGCCTTGAATAAATTGCAAGAAGGCTTGAAAGCTCTTGAAAAGGCTGGAAATTTCTGATTCGAGTGATTTACTTATAGAAATGTTCATCAGAATTTCAGCTTCAAAATACTAGAAAACACGGGAAATTTCGTTTTAGCTTTTATTTAGAAAATGAGTCATTTACGGGAACGGGATTTTGATCCTTTAGAAACAGAAACTCACATCAGCCTTCCGACTATTTCGGGGGAAGACGACGTTGCTCTTGGCGATATTGAGCCACGACTAAAAAAATTTTTTCAGTTTCGATTAAGAGTACACTAGTTACAGTAATCTAGCTCCCAATTCATAAAAGAATCTGCGTGGACACGCCGATGCGATTCTTTCATGGATTGGGGCTGAGAAAAACAAAAGCTGATCGGCGCCGGGATTCGAAACTGCGACCTTTCGCCTACCCGACGAACGGTTTACCATCGAGCTACACTGACGTGTATCCCATCGCTATGGGTAGGACATTATGCCTTACTGTCTGCAAGTTTTGTTTTATGGACCTGGGAGACGTGGATTGTGATGGACAAGATGAGAAGACTCGTGTAGCTGACATAAGTTCCATCGAAGATAGGGAGCTGAAAGTTGAGGTTCTGAGTATAACAATCTATTATCTAACAATCTTTTCGTTTAATTACTCAATTTCAATTACAATTTCAATAATTAATCATCCAATAAAAATTCAGAAACAATAAAATAACAAGATAAGCTTTCGAATCAAGAACTTTTTGCTAGCTATACAATAGCCAGCTGTAAAACTACGTGCTTGTCTCGTAAAGTGAAAGCTTTACTGTAACTAAATTTGATTCTGATCATTTTAAAGACAGTTTTTCAAAGTAAAGTTAAATAGCTCAGTTATTAGACCTATTTGAGCTACCTCATCACCGGTGGGGAGGAGGGCGCGCTTGGTGAAGTTGTACTCGCAGAACTCGCCGCCAATCCATAGACGCATGCAGTCACATCTGAAAATAAACAATTTTGCCGAGCCGATTGCATGTAAATTTTAATAAAACACTCTTTTATTATAAAAGAACTAAGATTTCAGCACTAACCGAGCTCCTTTTTCTCCATCCACACATTTGCCGAGATTGCAGTAGTCTTTGCTGGCATTTCTGCAGAATTCGGGCTTGAACGTGCAGTAGAGGCCCTAAAATGTAGTTGCTAATGTTGAGCAATGCAAAATATAATAAAGCGAAAGTTTTCCAAAACTCACATTCCATCCATCCTGGCAAACACATCGGAACTCCTTGGCCTTGGTCTTCTCGTCCTTCTCCCGGAATAAGCAGTGCCGGGTACCCTTGGGGTTACATCTGAAATAGACATGGGCACTATAAACTACAAAAATGACGAACTGTCACACTAAAAACGCTTCTAACTTGCTTCAAATCTACCAGATTAACATGAGCTATAGCTCAAAAAATAGAGGATCTCAAGAGCTTTCGAATGGACTAAGGCATAACAAAGGTAAAGAGAGTTACAATGGTTTGTAGTCCTAACTCGAAACGGACCTTACTCGGGCGTCGAAGCGATCGAGTCAGGCTACAAACCACTGTAACTTTCTTTAGCTTTGATGTTTTTGGGTGTGCTTTGGTCCATTCGAAAGCTCTTGTGATTCTCGACTTTTTGAGCTTTAGGTCATTTCAATCCGGTAGATTTGAAGCAATTTAGAAGCGTTTGTAGTTTACGTTTGTAGTTTGTAGTGTTCATGTCTAATCTGAAAGAAAGTTTTGAATGAAAAATACAGAATTACTTATCTGAGGTTGATCTAACTTTAGCTAAATTTTCTTATAATTCTGCACTTACTCATCACAGCTGTCGTGCCATTTTGTGTAGTTCATCACCTCATCCTCACCTCGGTCGACCGGTGGTGGCGGAGCTAAATTAATTATAATTGTTTTCTAAAGCTTCAATAAGATTCTAGCTTTACTTAACAATAATGAAAGCTCAATACTGAAAGCTTAAATCTTTCAAAAAGTTAATAGCTAGAATCTTATTGAAGCTTTAAAAATAGCAAGTAAAGGTTTTCCTTCGAGCCTTGAAAGAACAATGATTCAAAAACAAATTCTAGCTTTTAAGAGTATTGAGCACAAGAGTACTGAGCACAAAGTAGTTTTTCTTGACTATTTTAGTTTATCTTAGACTTTTTTAGTTACCAAATGACGGGCAATTAAGAAGTGACGGGTGAGGGGCCCAGTAGCCTTTCTCGGTGCACTTCATTTGGACCGAATTCGAGGCATTCTGCAGGCACTTTAGCTTGAATGTGTAGCCACCTAAAGTATTCAATATATTTTATAAAAATATGACTAGAGTTGACGTTATTAGACGGTTATTCACGACTTACCCAATGTCATCGCCTCGGTCGGGTACTCGATCATCGCCGGGTCAACGAAAAGGTTAAACTCTTGGAGTGGGCATCTTGGCGGTTGACAGTAGGCTAAAATTTGAGTTGTAGTTTAAACCAGCTGAAAAATCCGCCTAACGGTGGGTTTTTCGATGTTCTGGGGCTAACGCGGTTTTGTCGTCGTGGCGCAGTCGGGAGCGCGCTTGTCTACGGCCCGCGCGATCCGGATTTGACTCTCGGCTGTGTCGTGACTTTTGCTTTTGAAAAAACGCGATATGAGATGCACAACTACATAGAATTCTAAGCCTAAAAAACTAAAAATCATGTAAATCAGCCCACGGAAAGCTGAAAGCCGCGCGTACAGACGAACGAACGGACAGACACTTTCCTTTTATATATAATGAATCTTTCAGCTTGAAGTTTTAAGCTTTTAAACCCCAATCACCCATTCTTTTGCAGATCGTGACGATTCCAGATTGCTCTGTGTCCAACATGTTGTATTGCTGGATGATCGGTTCTTGTGGGTCGTCCATAAGCGGTTTGAAGAGACTGTAGTCGTAGAGGTCACTCTAAAAAGATTTTTCTTGATCAAGATTGAATCTTCTTAACTTGTTATTATTGCATAGGATTTAGAGAACTTTCTAAAAGTCTGGTAATCTGGAAAGCTAGTCCTTCATTCAGCCATTCAGCTAGTCCATTCAGCTATTGCCGCATTCAGCCATTCAGCCATTCAGCTAGTCCATTCAACTATTGCTGCATTCAGCCATTCAGCTAGTCCATTCAGCTATTGCCGCATTCAGTCATTCAGCCATTCAGCTAGTCCATTCAACTATTGCTGCATTCAGCCATTCAGCTAGTCCATTCAGCTATTGCCGCATTCAGCCATTCAGCCATTCAGCTAGTCCATTCAACTATTGCTGCATTCAGCCATTCAGCCATTCAGCTAGTCCATTCAGCTATTGCCGCAATCTCATTTGACAAGGAATCGAGGATCAAAGGGATTATGAACTGTTCTATTTCTGTTAAATAAGATTGCGAACAAAACCTAAATAAAAGATTACGATAGCTTTTCAGATTATCAAACTTTTAGAAAGTTCTCTTACGGAAAGATTATGGTAGCCTTTTAAATTAGCCTTTTAAATTACCCACCTTTTAGAAAACGCTTTACTCACGACAACTAATGAAACGAGCTTAGGGACTAATGAAAAACCTGTACACCAAAGGTTAAAGGTTAAAGAAAGATAAAGAATTTAGTGCACTAATCAACAAAAGTTTAGATATTTATTAAGTTTACAAACAAACATTTTAGCCAAACCTCTTTGAAGCTCTTCTGTGCTTTGTTCCCTCTCATGTTGATGTAGTAGAGGCTTCCTGGGTTTCCAGAGGCGTCACTGAAAACCTTTCTTTGATAAAAGTTCATTTAGCATTTCAATTTTATGCTTATTTTAAAAAAATTTCTTAAAAACCTACGCAATTTTGGCCATTTCAGTCACCATCGTCTCGTTGACAAAGTCAACGAGCCCAACAAGCACGGCGTTTTCCAGCTGAAATTCTTTGATTTATAGGGAAAGGTTTCGAGTTTAAACCCACTCTTTGAAGCTCTTTGAAGCTCTTTGTTTTATTTACCTTTCATCTACTTACCTAAAATACCTTTGTTCTGAAAGTTTGAATAACCTAAACATATCTGATTCTTAAACTATCCACACTTTTTCTCATAAATCTGAAAAGGATCTACAAAAACGGATGGGGAAAGTATAAACGAATAGCACCCTTTAGTTTCTTTCTAAGTTTTGAATCACAAGTTTTCATAAGTTTTCAAAATTTACCCAGCAACTGGTGTAGGCGGCCATATACGAGGTGGCGATCGCCATCGATTGGGTCTTGAGGCAACGAAAAACCAGCAGTTTTGATTTTTATAAAACTCTTCCATTAGAGATTTTCTAATCAGGTTCTAGAAGCTGGGTTATGCAAGAACATAGGCTATGCAAGGCTAGGATCAGACCAAAAGCCAGGACAAGGTCAAAAACTAGGCTCAGACTGAGCTTTCTTTGACAGACTAGCCCTGGGGCAGAGGCCAGAGCTAGAGCCTTGCTGATTTGATTTGTCTAGAACTGGCTCTGGAAAAATCCTGTTTCCTACTATCATAATTGATTTGAAAACTGGTTTAAAAACTTACTATTGAGCAAAGTTGGTGTATCCAGTTGGGCAAGCGATGAGGCAGGAGGCGGGCACTAAAATGGATCTGTTTTGATAAGAAACCAGTTGTGTTTGTTGGTTTCAAACCAGTTGTGGTCGATTCAAAGACATCGAAGGCCCAGGCTCCACCTAGAATTTAGGAATGAAAAGTTTGTAGTAAAATCTAAGATTTATTGTAAGATTATCTAGTATTTCTATATTTCATTGGCAATTTTTCCAAACTTACAAGTTGTCTTGCTTGGGACCATTCCCTCAAAAGGCATCGGTGACATCGGGTTTCCATTGCACTCCAAGTCGATAGTGCTCTGAAATTTCTGATTAATAATTTCACAAGTCTATCCACAAGAACTCACTTCTAAAACTGGTTTTGAAATAATGCTGTTTCCTACTACAATAAGTGATTTGAAAACGGTTATAAAAACTTACTATTCGATTAAACAACTAACCTTGGGCTCAGTCGTCGTTGTGTTTGTAGTTGAGGTTGATGATCTTGTGCTCAGCACAGCCGTAGTTGTTATTGTTGGTGCAGCTATAGTTTTATCAGTCGTTGTAGCCGTTGATATAGCCGTCAGTGTAGTAGTGGTTGTAGTGGCGGTTGGTTTAGTTGTCAATGCTGTCGAGGTCGAGACAGTTGATTGTTGAGTGGTTGGCTCGGTTGTCGTTGGAATTGAGGCTTTAGCAGTTGTAGTAGTTGTCGGCTTCTTTGTAGCTTGTTCTGTAGTAGTCATCTTTCCCGGCATTGCGCTCAAAATATCAGCCACCGTCTCCGTCGTTTGATAGGTGATTGTGACGGGAATTGTTGTCGAATCATTAGGAGTTTCCACAGTTCTCATAATTGTCCTTGTTGTGGCCACCATTGGGCTTTCAGTTGTGGTCTTTGTCGTCGATTTGGTTGTGGGCCTTGTGGTTGATCGAGTTATTGTAGTTGGAGTCACAGTTGCCGTTGTCGGCTTTGGAGTTGAAGGGGCTGGGACTGGAAGCTGAGTGATGACTAAACTTGACTAATTATAAATTAAAATTTGCCGCTAAACCTGTTGGCATCGTTGAGGGAAAGTTGGTCCACCCTGTCATCAAGAGAGAGTCTAAAGTTGAGCTTTGATCTAGCAAAAAGTTTAAGAGTAGATCAGATTTTACTGAAGCAGAATTGATTTTTGTTTAAGCTCTAGCGTTAAACTAGTTTAGTGGCCTGTAAACTACTATAAAATTTCAAACAACTAACCGGTCGAATTTGTGGTTGGTTTTGTAGTTTGTCCAGAAGTCGATCCAGTAGTCGTTCCATCAGTCGTTCCAGTAGTCATCTAATAACAAGATCTTATTAACAAGGCCATCTAATAACAAGATGCTAACAATAACGTCGTGGCCATTTAATAACAAGATGTTATTAACAAAGCTAACTATAGGTAGACTACTTAAACTGTAGTGATTGTAAACTTAAAATAAATCAATTTCAAAAGATGCGCTTTAGAAAAAAGACTACTGTAACTTAGCTTTCTATTTATAAAAGCATCAAAATGCTTACAGCTACTGTTTACAGCTACAACTGTAAGCTGCTTACAGCTACAACTGTAAGCAGTGAATTCAAAATTGAGAGATGTGTACAAGTCTAATATTAGCCTAACTATTGAAAGAAGTCGAGAATAGCCGAATTCAACACGACACAAACAATCAAAAACAATCAAAACCAATCAAAAACAATCAAAACCAATCAAAAACAATCAAAACCAAAACAAATACTCAATTGAAGCTCAACAACGGAATAAGGCAAAACAATAGAATAGCGAAATCACAAAAGATTGCAACTGAAAGTTTCGTTACCCTCGATGGCGAAATGGTGGATGGATCGATGGGTTGGAGAGTCAACAAAATCTCCGAGAGAGTGGTTGGCGCCTAGAATTGGAAACTGTTGCATTTTGTTGCACTGTTGCATAAGAAAAGCAGACACTTATCAAATAATTCAGTAACTTGCTAAAGATTAAGCTCAAAAAATAGCATGTTTTACTTTTTCCTTGTCAGTCATTGGAGCCTCGGTGGTTGAAGGTTTAGTTGATGGTTTGGTTGTAGTCGATTCATCTGTCTCAATCGTTGATTCCGGTTTTGTTGTCGGTTTTGTGCTTTCCTAAAATTTTGATTAGCTTTTGTACAACTATAAAACTCTAGTCGTACAAAATCATACAAAATACGACTAAAGTAACTATAGAAGTAGTTATTTTTAAAGATTTAAATTTACTTGAGTAGAGATTGGAGTTGTTGTCGATGTTACCGTGGATTCAGCTGTGATCGTTGTTCCCACAATGATTGGGTTTGTGTGCACGCCAGTCATAGTAGTCACATTGAATGTTGTTTCGAAACTCGTCTAAAACTACATTTGTATTCGAATCATAAATTTCAAAGTACCAGTGAAACTTCTTCGGCAATCGATTCAACTGTGGTGTCGGTCATCTTCGAGATAGCTTGAGCGGAAGACTCGATGTCGGTAATCGATTTAGTCGATCTCTAGAGAAAAAGTAAGCTGATCAATCTTATCAAGCTGATGAGTTATATACCGTAAATACTGTAATAGTACCCCACCCCCATAATGACGATGCGGAGTGCTGCGTAGTCTAGCTTTGAACGAGTTTTTCTCGACACTGGTTTATGCTACAATGTGCGCTTAGGTATCAAAAAATAGCCCTGAATTTCAGCTATTTTTTTCATACCAAAGACGCATTTTTTGAAAGTACGGGCGCTTTGAAAAAAAATGAAATACTAAAAAACTTCTGCGACTACGCGACTGTACGAGGGGGTGGGGTACTATTATAGTATTTACGGTAGCTATATAGTTATATAGATATATATCTCAGTAGTACTATAGCTAACTGATAACTGGGTTAACAAATTAAGCTTTAAGTTAAATCCTAATTCTTAATCCCTACCTAAGTATTGCCCATTTACTATTTTCTGACCATCTTACCGTAGTCATCTCTTGATTCTTTCCCGTTGAAGCTTCAGTTGAAACAACTTCAATTGTGGACTCAAATATCACTGTCTTATTTGAAGGCATTTCTGTAGTAGTTAATTCAGTTATGCTCTCGTGTTCCCCAGTTGTGTCCTAAAGTTTCATGATTCGAAAACACTACTCTAATTAGAATTTATTAAATCTATTTTAAGCTATACCTCTTCAGTTGCATTTCTAATTGATTGGGTCGTTCCAAATTGAGTTGATGAAGTCATATTAATCTCCTCCATAGTCATCATTGTGGTGGTTAACTCAGTTGAAGTTGTAGTCGATTCAGTAGTTGTTTCCGAGTCTTCTTGGGGAGTCAAAGGTACTGTAGCCTTTTCTATAGTTGTATTCAAGAGCTCGATTTGCTCACTTGTCTGGATTGTACTTGAAATAGTTGGTTTTTCAGTTGCATTTGCTGCTCCGGCTGTAGTTTTCGTTTCAGCAGTCGTTTCAGCAATTGAACTTGTCAAGATTCCTTCAATTGTAGTCGTTGTGGTGGTTGTCGAAGTTGAGGAAGTTGCTGTCATTGTCCCATCATCGGCAGTGGTTTCCATATCCGAGATGGTAGTTGTTGTCGTTGTCACCAAAGTCGAGCTTGTATCAGTTGGCTCTTCAATTGTAGCCGATTCAGAAGTGGTTGATGCAGCTGTTGAGCTTGTCAAAGGAGTTAAACTTGAAGTCGTCGAGTCAATGTTTGACGAAGTGGTTCGCAAAGTTGAAGTGGTCAGTTCCGGAGTTGAGCTGATTGGCAAAGTTGAAGTCGATCTAGTTGAGGTTGTTGACTCCTCACCAGTTGTTTTTACCAAAATTGAAGTTTTCGAAAATGATTGGAAATCATTTGAAGCGGAAGCCGTGGTGGGTTCATCCTTGAATGGTTGAGTTGTTGAATCAGCTGGGATCGTGGTAGTTGAAGTTGTAGTTGTGATAGTAGAGCTGGTCGAAAAACTTTCTTTTGAAGTTAAGCTTTTGGTGGTAGTGGTAGTTGAACTTTTCCTAGTTGTCGAAGTTAGCGACGTAGTTGAGGGTGTGATTGTAGTGAAAATTGGTGAGGTTGATTTTGAAGCCGTGGTGGTTGGGGTTGCTGGAGTAGTTGAAGTAGTTGCTGAAGTAGTTAAGGCTGTTGAAGGAGTAGTTTTGGGAGTTGGAGGAGTAGTTGAGGTGGTTGACGGAGTTGTTGGAGTGATCGTCGCCGTTGTTGAAATATTTGGAGTAGTTGATGGAGTGGTTGTCCTTGCTGGAATGGTTGGAGTGGTTGTAGACCGAGTTGTTGGCGCCGTAGTCGGAGTTGTTGATGTTGTTGGAGTGGTTGATTTGGTAGTCGAGCTCGGCGTGGTAGTCGGTGTTGTCGTTGTTGTTGTCGTAGTTGTCGTAGTCGTTGTCGTCGTTGTATCCACTTTATTTGTCCAATTGGCACTGCATGCTCTGGGGCCGCAACTGAGATCGAATAAGAGAGCATAATACTCTTCACACATGAGCTCAGTCACTAAATCAAGTTTACTATTATTCGAGACTGCAGTATTCATTCCAATTGAAGAGCTATTAGAAGAACACTCCAATAGAAGAGCTCCTTTAGACGGAATTCATTTTTTCGGATTTATCAACTCTCAAATAGCAAAATGTTCAGCTTTTAAAAGACTTTAAATAAAAGTTATAAACTAAAAAAGCTTAATGACGTTAAAAGCCGGGTATCCAACAAAAACACAAAAACACCCAGCCGGCAGTTTCTATAAAAGTGTTTACGATAATTTCAATTCGATTAGACAACAGCATTGATACAAGTAAATTTTTTTTCCTCTTACTATTAGCTAAAGTGTTTTTGAAAGTCTGTTCAAGAATAAGTATTAGTCTAAGATCACTAATTTTAAGAGCAGTAGTCTAACTAAGTTTAAAACAGTAAACTATTGGGTTGGTGAATTGAAAACAGCGGGCTATTGTCATATGTCACAGTTTGAGCACTTTCTTCAAAAGAAACCCATTTTGGTGTTAATGGAAAAGTTGTAGAGAATCAAAAATGAAGCTTATATCCAAATTTTCAGAACGATTCAAAAACTGATTTTCAAAAAATGCCAAATTTACGAATTTTCACAAAACTTGCATTTTAAGCGAAACTACTAAGTGCATCTTTTTGGAAATTTGGCTATAAGCCTAATTTTCGATTCTCTACAACTTTTCTATTGACACCAAAATGGGTTTCTTTTGAAGAAAGTGCTCAAACTGTGACATCTCCATTTTTGAGTCTCACACTTGTCTCACACACAAACCAAAGTCCTACTACGAAAGAGGAATCCGCAAAATGCCTGTAAAATGGGCAGAAGTCGTCAATAATAATGGAAATTATTTGGAATGAATTGATGGTTTTATGTTGAATAAATTTTAGTTCAAAATCCCAGAGTTTTCAATTCACCAATCTAATATAAAAATGTTTACGATAATTTCAATTCAATTAGACAAGAGCATTGATACAAGTAAATTTTTTTTGCTCTTACTTTTAGCTAAAGTGTTTTTGCAGGTTTGTTCAAGAATAATTATCAATCTAAGATCACTAATTTTAAGAGCAGTAGTCTAATACTAAGTTTAAAACAGTAAGCTAGTAAACGAAAAGCTTGAAAGCTGAGAAAATCCCCTTGTTCCTTAAGAGGAACACAGTTTACTCATAGTTTACTCATAGTTACAATACAAACTCACAATCGTAGTCATCGGATTTTGTTGCAGTGAGAAGAAACAGAAAGAGTATCGCACCTAAATCAATGAAATTCTGGTTCTATGCAACTTAACACATTCACGATGATGCCACTTTTGGCTAAAAATTTGCATATGGGGCTTTCAGGGGAAGAGGGTTCTAATTTTTAACTTAGCAGTTGGAAGTTGAATGAAGTTTTAACTTTTCATCATCACATCAAATCACATCACATTAGATATGGGCATCGGGTTGGGTCGGGTCGGGCAGGGTCGGGTCGGGCCGGGTCGGGTCAAAAGTGACCCGCTGACCCGACCCGCGACCCGGCTTTTTTTCCCGGGTGACCCGCTGACCCGACCCGGCGAAAATTTTGAGCTTGACCCGACCCGCGGACTCGACCCGGCCGCCAAAACTCGAAAATGCACATCTCTACATCACATCACTTTCATCATCATCACATCACATCATCACAAAACATCAATTCAGACCTTTCAAAGACGAAGCCGCAAGGTTGAACTTCATTTTCAGTAGCGAGCTCTTCTAGTTGATGATACGGTAGATGTTTTAGGCAAATACAGTACAAAGCTCTTTCAATATTGTAGGCCAAGCTCTTTCAATATTGTAGACAAAATTTCGCTCAAAATCCCATAGCGATCCGTCAAAGTCCCATCATCTCCATAAAGCGATAGTCTAACTACGGTTGCTATCAAAATTTTCGTTTGAATTCCACGGCTCACCACTTTCATCGACACCCACCTAACGACCGTTTCTATCTAAAAATTTTCGTTTTTCGAACATTAAATGTTCACCATTTTTCATCGGCGACTTCCTAACAACCGTCCCCACCCAAAATTTTCGTTTTTTGGATTTTGATCGCCAGATTGAAGACAGATTTTAAACGATGAATCAGTGCAAAAAATCAACGGCTTTTAATCGTTTTTCGAAAAGATTTCCTTTCATTTATGCTTTAATCACTACTATATTTCTTCAGCTCTGACCATTATTCTAGGGAGAATTCCTTAGCTTCTTAAGTTACTGACTTTGTACAAGTGGCTTAGTTTTACTGTAAAATTTGGCTTCAAAACAGAAAAATCTTGAGTCCAATCGTTTACCTATCTATTGGGTTGATGCATAATTAACCGCCGTTCCTCTGACTAGTCAAGTTCGGGATTAGGTTTCTCAAGAACTACTCAACTAATTCTCGTCCTCTTTTTTTTATTTTAAAGCTAGATACATCAAAATATTTTTAAGCTACAGAAGTTTTCTGAAAATTGCGTGAAACTTTTTTTGAGGCTTTGAGGAAAAAGTTGATTTTTGGAAAAAATCTTATTTTTCACAAAAGCATCTATAAACCAAAAATTTGAAGGTAAACGCTTAGAATGGTTCGAAAGAAAATTGTAGCTGATGTAAACAACAATTCAATGAGCTATAAATGAGGGGTAGGCGATGTTCCTATCTAGAGAACGAGTTCGTGACAGTTGACCTATTTCGAAAATGGGTGGCTTCACCATTTTAGCTCTCCTAGCTTCATAATTGAGTTTTTTGCCACGAAACTTTGCAGTTAAATGCAAAATTGAATTCTACACAAGATTACAACAACAACAGAAACCTAATCCCGAACTTGGCTAGTCAGAGAAACGGTGGTTAATTATGCATCAACCCAATAGTTGATTTCAGTTCCTTAAAACCAATTTTTTTTCTCATTGAACATTATTAGCTCTTTTCTTTAACTTGCCAGCTTTGTTAAGCTTTGCCATTGGCCTGCCATTAATTTTCCTTTTCCATTAATTTGCAGGAATGCTCCTTAAACTTTTGATTTTTCTATTTTCCACTTCTGTGGTTGCTGCTGGGTACTACTGGAATACGACTAAAAAAATGATGATATCGCGAGATGGCAGTCCGGTTCTTCCTTCAACACCGGGAGAATGTGTCCCTGCCGATCCGCCTATGACACTTCCGATTGTGAGTTCTTTATGTGTACAATAAGAAATGGCAAAGAAAGATTCTGGAGAGGGGATTGAACCCTCGACCTTTTCTTTGCAGATGCTCTCCACTGAGCTATCCGGTATCTTCTTGTCAGGGGAAAGAAAAATACCAGGCGAAGAGAAGAAAATACCCGAAAGAAGTCAACGTTCTCAATGTTTTTGCACAATTTCTCTAAATAACATTCTAGACCTACTACTGGGAGCATCAATATCAATATCGGGATGGACAAGCTCTCTACCAGACTCATCTCAAAACTCTCAAAGACTGTCACAACAATTGTGTCCATAATCTCACTTGTGGCACTTACTATTGGTCAGCCACGAATACATCATGTGTTTGGTATAAAACAACTGAAATTTACAAGAACCAAATGCAATCTCATACGTCTTCTGAAGTCATCTTTTCCCGACGCTACTATCCGCTAACAACAAGTCGATTAAATTACGGTAAAAAGCAAACCCGATTTCTTATTGTACTTATTTTGACTTTAGGTTCCTTTGACTTTAGGTTCCTTTGCTAACATTCTATTTGATAAATATTCTATTAGATCTATTAATCCGCTATTTTTCGACCTCAAAAACCCGATTTCTTATTGTTTTTGCTTTGCCTTTTTGCCTTTAGCTTCCTTTGCTAACATTCTATTTGATACATATTCTAAATCCTCTATTAGATCTATTAACACGATGATTCGGTCCACCGGTGGACGAAATTGTGGTCCACCGGACGAAACCCCACCCGCCTCAGAGACAGACGCTCTACCGACTGCGCTATAGAAGACCTCTATTGCGCGTATCCCAGTCTAACGGCCATAACTTTTTGGGATAAAGTCTTATCAAAAAATGCTGTTGACATGAAATGTTCATCTAGCTGAGCTCCATCCAATAAAACAAAAATCGTGGAAAACAGACCATTGGAGAAAGAGAAACGCGGCGTTTTTTCTCACGAGCCAAAAAGAGCCGATATCTTTTTGAGACAGCAATATTTTCAAAATCTGATTAGATTAGATCTGAACCCAAAAAAAACGCCTCGTCGCGAATGTGTTAATCCTCTATTTTTCGACCTCAAAAAATCGGCAGGCCAAAAAAATTGGTAAGGGAGGACCACATGGTTCAAAAAATATTTTTTTACTAAAAACTATTTTAAATAATAGCGCTTGCCCTAGAACATCTAAAAAACACATTTTGAATGAAAACAAAATGCTCTCCGACCTCACCGAGATCGATTTCAAAAAATCTATGTGGCCTCCCTGTCAATTTTTTTCGGAAATTTTTTTGATTTTTTTCAAAAACCACTTTTTCAATTTTACTGCTATTGATATTTATATGAATATAAGCCTATATTTATGGAATAAAACAGAAGAAACAATACAAAATAGGTTTTTAAATTTCTAGAGAAGACAAATTGAGCTGGAGCGGTGCCGCTCTATTAGAGGATGCTGTTCTAATAGAGGATTTACGGTATTCTTAATGTTAAGACCTAGTCCAGGGTGTGGCAGGATTATTGCACCAGCTTTGAGGCATCAATGTTAGTTCCAAAAACTAATAACAACATTATTCTTCATTCTCACTTGATAATGTCATCCTCTATTAAATCCGGATCTTGCAAAATTCCATCAAATCCCTCGGCGCTCGAAATTGAATCGTTTTCGCTCTCATATCCATTGTTTCTATCCTCGGAGTCGATATCTTGACAACGTTTTGCTAATCCTCCTTAGTTTCTCTTGTTTAACCTATCTTTAAAAATCAATTGTTAAAGTTTTTGAGTTGATTTCTCTTTTATCGGTTTGTATCCTTAAAAATATTGGTTTCAATAACCCTGTATACAGAAAGAAAACCAAAATTTAGATAAAACGCAAAAAACATTTTAGTTACGAGGAATCCCTACACGTATATCTATCAAAATCTAGCAGGCACTGGACAATCCCAATGGCAGTACAGCTACAACCAGTAAGTTGCTTATATTAACACATTCACGACGATACGGCCATACTAATATATATGTCGTAGCCGCTTACGAAATTCAGCCGCTAACGAATGAGGGTATTTCCGGGCATCCAATCAAAAAGTCACCCACATAAAAAATGTTCATAATACATATATTTTATAATAAATTTTTGAAATTAGCTCATTTGGTTCAGTAGAAATTTTTTTTTGAGCCCCCAAAGTTTAGGTTCAAAAATGCCCTAAAATGGCTATAAAAAATTTTCTACTCAGTCAAAAAACTTGCCTAATAGCTCATTTTGTAGCCACTTTGATGTAGATTCTTAAAGTAAAGCTACATTGAACCTTTGTTTTTCAAAGCTAGGAGAAAGAGGGCGAGGAACGATTTCAGTTGAACTCGGTCGCTGTTTTCACATTTGAGAATTGCCCTGAATTTGTTCCTCGCCCTCTTTCTCCTACTTTCAACGAAAAATTGTTTTAGATGGCTTTACTTTAAGAAACCACATCAAATTGGCTACAAAATGAGCTATTTGCCAAGTTTTTTGGCTGAGTAGAAAATTTTTTATAGCCATTTTAGGGCATTTTTGAACCTAAACTTTGGGGGCTCAAAAAAAAATTTCTACTGAACCAAATGAGCTAATTTCAAAAATTTATTATAAAATATATGTATTATGAACATTTTTTATGTGGGTGACTTTTTGATTGGATGCCCGGAAATACCCTCATTCGTTAGCGGCTGAATTTCGTAAGCGGCTACGACATATATATGTAGATACTTTATTCAGGACCTGAAATAAAGTGCGCTAGATTTAAGATTAGTACACATGAATTCATACACATAACACGAAAAGGGCCGATAAAACACGATATACCGTATTTTCTCTAATAGTAGTGCACGCCGCCGAGCCGAGTTGATGACTATTTTACAGTTTCCAAGCTTTCACAGAAGCTCAACACTCGAATCCCCCACAAGATCTCATTGTCAACTACATTTTCCGATCCCACATCGATAGGTTCTGATAAGTGGTTCTCGAGATTTCGAGGAGTTTAGGCAACGCTCATCGTGCACTACTATTAGAGGGAATACGGTATCTTACATTTGAATCTATTTATGCTTTTATGTTTCCAAGCTTTTGCAGAAGTTCAACACTCTAATCCCCCACAAGATTTCATCAACAGCTATATTTTCCGACCCCACATCGATAGGTTTTGATAAGCGGTTTTCGAGATTTCGAGTAATTTAGCAACGCTCAGGGTGCACTACTATTATAGAGAATACGGTAAATACAGTAATCGTCAAAGGATGAGAAATAACCCGAACAAACCTTTTTGACTCGATCTTCACATGCACTAAATAAAAATACTTTTAAAAATCGTTAATTATAGACTCAAATCTAAAAGATTTTGATTCTAAGGCTTTCTGCAAGTTCTAGGAGCTGAGCGTCGAAGCAGCGCAGAGAACCGAGCGTCATAAAATTGTGTGTTAGACTAGGCGGCTGTACGGGGGCGCTACTATTACAGGTATTACGATAACTATCGGTTCTTCAAATTAAACCCACCTATTCGTCTTTAAAATGGTTCCCTTTAGTTCTATAAACAAAGACTTTGAACCTTCAAAACCCAACCTTAACCCAACCTTAGTTTCCGGTGTCAGCCCTGGAAAGATACATATACCATAGTTTCCCTAATAGTAGTGCACGAGTTGATGACTATTTTACGGTTTCCAAGTTTTCGCAGAAGCTCAACACTCTAATCCCCCACAAGATCTCATCGTCAGCTACATTTTCCGACCCCACATCGATAGGTTCTGATACGCGCTTTTCGAGATTTTGAGCAATTTAGATCAAGCTCAGGGTGCACTGGTATTAGAGAGAATACGGTAATTTATGTAATATATGGGTAGGACAGATAACGTCAAGAATCCACTAGAGTTTCAAGATCAAGAATGACGATTATTTTTTGGTGTTAACAAAAGTTTTTAAAGATTTTATTTCGAAGGTAACTTTATACTAGTTTTTAAGAGAAGATTCAGGGCTATAAAATGAGCTATAATAGTTTGGATTGTCTTTAAATGTTCACCAATAAAACAATAACGACTACGAGATTGTACACCCAAAATTCTGTCGTCGTGAATGTGTTAAAGTTAGTAAAAAAAGCGCTAAACTCAGAGTTTATTATATTTTTTAGAAAAGCCAGCAGCAAAGCGGTTCTTTGTGTTTTATGGCGTCCTACGAGGGGTTGTTCACTTCAAGTTTATGGAACAAAAAACGGTAGTGATAGATTTAATCGTATAAATTTAACTATTCTATAAATTTACCGATTTATTAAGTCGTAGAAATAGAAATTTATCTCATAATCGTTTAAGTGAAATTGGCGCATTAATTTTTTATATTTTAGGTGTTATTGATTAGTTTTCCATTGCACCAAAAGACGTTTTGCTTGAAAGAAATCATTAGTAAAGGGTATCCCAATTTCTAAACTTATATTTTTTCTAGTTTTTATATCAATCTATGATATCTACTTTTTGTGTAATTATGTGAGGACTCATGAAAGATATCAAGTGAGCCGTGAGATTTTCTGAGAAAAATCGCTTTAAAAACTACATTTATTTAAACGAATAATGTGATACAAACAATATATAAGCACAACCTTTAAGCCCTAAATGTAGGGAAGAAAAAACCCGGATGAAAAAAGAGCCAATAAACTAGCCGGCAGGATTGAACCCTTGACTTCCCAACTAAGATACGGGGCTCTTAGCCCAGTGAAATTAACGTCTTAATGATGTTTGATACTTTAGGTGCTCTTGATTTTGTCACCGTTGCAAGTCAGTACTTCTTTCTTTCGAGCGTGAAAGGGATTTGTGACGCGACAGAACCAATCTACACTTACAAGACGACCACAGGAGTGCTAGGTTAATTTTTAGTGATGTCATGTAATTTAATTTGGATCTTAAATGCTGTTACATAAGTTAATCTTAATAGACTATTGAAATTATAGAAGTAACTTTAAATTATTCAATAATATATTGCATTAATTTAAATTTGGAATATAATGGGATTGTAACAGTACATTTGTTAAGATCGTAATAGTACATTTGCTAAGATCGTAATAGTACATTTTTTCATGTGATTTGTGAGGATCGATGTTTTGGATAAAAAGCAAAAATCTTTGACCAGAGTGAGATTCGAACCCACGCCTCCGAGAAGGATCAGTGCCTTAAACGGCGCCTTAGACCGCTCGGCCATCCTGCCACCTCGCCGAGGTACTGTTTAAAGCTCCCTAATTCACCGATTTACGGATTTTCAAAAAATGGAAATGTTTCCTTAAGATTACTTTGAAACAGGCTCGAAGATCCCTACAAAATGACAATATGTAAACGATAAACGTTTTTAATAAAGCAAACCGTAAATCAATCAATGAATTAGGGCAGTTTTAAACAGAACCATGGCAAATAGCGACATTTTATAGTTGCAGATTCAATACTATTTAACATCAACACAAACTAAAAAATTGATTCAGGTACCATTTACTCAAACACCAAAAACAAATCGTGGTCTTTGTCAAACACAATGTTTTCATGGCCGCTCTCGTATTGCGAGGTATTTGAAAAATAATATAAACTGGAAAAAAGAAACTCTACTATATATAAAGCTGAAGAGACATCTGTCTGTCTGTCCGTCTGTGCGCAAACGCGACGCTCCGTGATTACGTTTGCTCTATCGGTTAAAAGGCAAAGTACCGTCAAAGCTCTAATGGAAGCACCCCTATAGGAGCATCTATAGGACTCAAAAAACCGCTCGTACTTTTCCCTAATAGTAGTGCACCCTGAGCGTCGCCTAAATTGCTCGAAATCTCGAGAACCGCTTATCAGAACCTATCGATGTGGGGTCGGAAAATGTAGCTGACGATGAGATCTAGTGGGGGATTAGAGTGTTGAGTTTCTGTGAAAACTTGGAAACCGTAAAATAGTCATCAACTCGTGCACTACTATTAGGGAAACTATGGTATATGTATCTTCCCAGGGCTGACACCGGAAACTGCTCTTCCCAAAACGATCTCAAAAGCTTTCTCGTATGATAATAAAGTGTTTTGTTAACACTCAACTAGTCTCGCAATGTCAAATTTTATGTTGAATCATTTCAAAAATACTTCTGTAGTTCTACTAGCTTCTTTCAATAACAGAAAATAGAAGATTTTATCAAGAAAATAAATCGAGATGATTAAGCGGGTTAATAATGTTAATCAAATGGCGTGGCTTCCAAATTACCTATTCTTATGGTTAGAAGTTTTCAAAAGCTTTGAATCAAGCGTTAAAGAGAAACAGCAATCCCAATTTGTGTCAGAATTTTGTCGTGAATGTGTTAAGTTAAACAAGTTCAGCACAAAAAACATAATCACCAGACGCCAAAACTAGCGGTTGATAATTTCCAGTATTACCACCAGTAAGGACCAGTGCGGCAAATTCGTATTGTCCAGCCACACAACGCAGATCAACACTAAGTGCCATCGTTCCTCGTTTCAATACTGTATTCGATAGGCATCTGAATTTAAAATAGAGCCACATTACATTATTTAAACGAAGCTAAGTCGCTTCTAAATTAATGGTCCAGATAATCGGTATAGTTTCAAATACAAATACGAACACGTAAAAGCACGATCCTGAGACGACGGTTGACTGCCATTCACCAGTGATTTCTCTACAATTCTGAAGGCCAGATCCATTTTGATCAAAACCAGGACATATCCCATCAGCGTTTGGATCCCCTGTCAATGGAGGAGCTTTGTCAGCACACATTTCCATTTCACAAACTGAAATATTGAAGATAAAGAGTTTTACTGACAATTAGCAGCTTGTAAGTTTGTCTAAAATATATTAAAGTATTTTCTGCTTTGAGGGAATTTAGTAAACTTTTTAGAATTGTTCTTTAAAACGACAGAATTTAAACTTTAGAAAGAGAAAGGAAAAAGAAGGAAGTAAAGAAGAAAAAAGATGAAAAAGCGTGAAAGACCGTAAGAAGACGAAAGACAAACCCAATAACATTTCCATTCTATATCCACGTCCAAAACGCCACACTGAAAGTCACGCAATGGCGACAAAATCGGCTCGTAAATGACTTGTAGATGTTCCTTTTGATCTCGGCAGCTGAATTCTATTTATTAATTGAATTACAATTGCAAGACTGCATGGGTTTATCTAAAATTTCAAATTTGTTTTTAAAAATGACCATTTAATTCTTTTAGTATTAAAAAATTACCTTCACAAGTGCTATTCGAGTTGGGTTCATCGGAAAAAAGGCCAAGTTTTTATCTTCATTCGATCAGCACACTTTGCAGTCAACTTTACAGTTCTTCATCTACAAATCTTTGTATAAGTTGACTTTTAAAAGTTGTTTGAGCAAGTTAAGTTTAACTCAAAGTAAGTCTGGCTTAAATTTGTAATATAATAAAGTTAGTTTTTCTCGATTTCTCAGGTCTTCTCACGGCTTTCACGACTTTTCAAGAATTGATAAAACTTGTTAGTATTGAAACAAAATGTTAAACTGGAAAAGTGGCAAGGAAGGAGGTAAATGCGCAAGAAGTCAAATGTTTGTTAGCAATTTCGTAAGCCAATTCAAAGGTAAAAGACTTACCACCAAGAGTGGTCGTTGATGTCGACGTAGAGGATGACGTCGATGTCAATATCGATGTTGCTGTCGATGTTGCTGTGCCGGTCATCTCTACAAAGTTAAAAAGAAATGCTTCTGTCCTTATTGCAGATTAAAAACAAAATGATTTACTTGTTGTTGTCATTGCTGTAGTAGCCCCTGTCGTTCTTGTCGTAGAGGTCGTTTTTGTCTGTGTGGTGCTTGAAGCTGTTGTGCTTGGAGTTGTTGTGCTTGGAGTTGTTGTGCGAACGCTTGTTGGGGTGACTGTTGTTGTAGTGGTGGCTGTAATTTAAGTAAAAATTTGTTCATTTAAATAACAACAGTTTCGCGTAAAGAACTCACTCGTTCGAAGACAAGGATTTACGCAGTTTAAGCACAAAAAAGTTAGTAGAAGAGAGTTTCTGAGCATTTGTTCGATGATGAATTGACGCTTCACCTTTTTGTAGGGAGTGTAGAATCTTTGGCGCCTGGGCGGAGCATTTTGTTTTCTCAAAATCCAATCAAACTCGTGCTAACGTGCCATCAATTTCAGTTTCAATGACCAATAACGACGAGAAAAGAGCAAAAGAAAGCAAAGCAAAGCAAAGCAAAGCAAAGCAAAGTAAAGCTAAGCAAAAAAAACTTTCAGTGCTTCACTTCTAGAGTTTCCAGTTCAACAATCAATGAGTTACCGTAAATTTTCAATACTAAACTCTGTAGAAGTTGAAATTTTCACAAAAACTATCAGAAACAAACAAAAAAATCACAGATGAAGAACGATTATTGAAAATCAAAAACAAATTTACAAAAATTTATTGAAAATTTCTCTTTCAAGAATTTTTCTTATCTTTTTTCCCTTACATGATATCTTCTCTTTTTCTTGACTGATCAGCAATTTTTCGTTTCTAAGGTTTTCTTGTGATTTACATTCTGCGCTGTGGTAGGTGCCTGACCTTGAAAGCTGTTTGATTGGGTTTTTTTGAAAGAGAGAACTTTTGAAAAGAAAGCAAAGACTTCAAACTAGATCTTAGAGATAAATTGAGCGAGAAGCAATTCTCCTAAAAACCGAGTTCTCTGCTGTAGGCTTTTAACGAAAAAGGACAAAATAAATGTTAGATAATTTCATGTTTACAGCTAATAATAGAACTAGCTATTGCTAATAATGCTATTACTAATAGCTATTGGGTTGTCCAGTTATGTATGCACGCCTGCTCTTGAACAACTTGAACAGCATTCCTTAGAGCTTTACAATTTTATCAAACCCAATTTTCTATATACTGTTCAGGATTTCTTATTTTATTACAACTTTTCGTGTTTTTGACGTCAAAGCAATTTTTGATTTAATTTCTGTGAACGACACGAAGTTTCGTCTGCGTGCCAGTCTTTGGTATGACTTCAAATTGGGCAAAAATACCGCTGAATCTCATCGAGATCTTTGGAAAGTATTTTGGAAGATGCTGTTTCGGAAAGCCAGTGTCGGCGATGGTTTCAACGATTTCGAGAAGGAAATGAATTTTTGGGAGATGAGGACCACCGGCCTCCTACGATCGATAATACAGTACTTAAAAAGGCGATCGAAATTGATCCTCGACAAACTACACGTAAACTTGCAGAAATATTTGGAATAAGCCCTCAAAAACGCGCATTTATAACTGGACAACCTAATAGCGAATGATTAACTAACTATAATATAGCTATTCGAAACTAAGAAGTAAGGTAAGCTTAGAGTTTCAAATTTAGGTCAAATTGTCTAGAACTTAATGGAAATATTGAATAGGATAGGTACGGTGATTTCAGGGAAAAAACGCTAGTCTAAAATGGTTTAATGAGCTTTTACTGTAATTGATTTTGAAATGTACGATGGATATTTCTAGAAAAATGGAGAAGACAGGATTCATTTCTTATTTGAAATTATGGATTAGGATGCTGACGGATCTAAAGAAAGAGACTGGGGTTCTTTACAGATTTTTATGAAAAAAACCCCCAACATTGGATATTTTTCTCGTTTTTACTGTACTAGAAATAGGAAACTATCCTTGTTCCTCAAAAAAATTAAGAAAATAAATTAAGGTTGGGTTTTGAAAGTTCAAAGTTTTTGTTTATAGAACTAAAGGGAACCATTTTAATGACGAATAGGTGGGTTTAATTTGAAGAAACGATAGTTATCGTAATACCTGTAATAGTAGCGCCCCCGTACAACCGCGTAGTCTAACACACAATTTTATGACGTTCGGTTCTCCGCGCTGCTTCGACGAAAAATCTACTACTCAACTCCTAGAACTTACAGAAAGTCTTAGAATCAAAATCTTTTAGATTTGAGTGTATAATTAACGACTTTTAAAAGTATTTTTATTTAGTGGATGTGAAGATCGAGTCAAAAAGGTTGTTTGTTTGTTCGGGTTATTTCTCATCCTTTGACGATTACTGTATTTACCGTATTCTCTCTAATAGTAGTGCACCCTAAGCGTCGGCTAAATTGCTCGAAATTTCGAGAACCGCTTATCAAAACTTATCGATGTGGGGTCGGAAAATGTAGCTAACGATGAGATCTAGTGGGGGATTTGAGTGTTGAGCTTCTGCGAAAACTTTGAAACCGTAAAATAGTCATCAACTCGGCCCGCCGGGGCGCATTGCTCGACAATTTCTCGTTTGCCATCAAGAAAAAGCACATCGATGCACCAAACATTAAACCACCATAAAAGGCTGGCAAAGCGATGTTTGGATCACATTCTGGTTTTCCTTTTCTAAAAGAAATCAAAAATACAATACAAAACAAAAAACAAACTTCACATAACAATAAACGATGAAGATCAAAAATGACGTGACGACAACTCCAATGAAAAACGAGAAAATGTAACCGAGACCTGTTGATGGGTAGCCTTCGTCGACTTTACTCTGGAATTTCACTGATTAAGAAAATATCGTATTTTCTCTAATAGTAGTGCACCCTGAGCGTCGCCTAAATTGCTTGAAATCTCGAGAACCGCTTATCAGGACCTATCGATGTGGGGTCGGAAAATGTAGCTGACGATGAGATCTTGTGGGGGATTAGAGTGTTGAGCTTCTGCGAAAACTTGGAAACCGTAAAATAGTCATCAACTCGGCGGCGTGCACTACTATTAGAGAGAATACGGTATATAAAATCTACGGTAGATGTTTCTGAAGCCTTTTAGGGACGGCTCGTACGCTAATTGGAGAAGGCGGGCTTCATTTCTTACAGTTTTTCCAGATACCGTAGCTTAATAGGCCGTTATATGATCAGCAATCAATCAAGAATGTTTTTACGATCATCCTGCCAGTTTTTTTAAGCCAATAACCAGCCTACCCGACCTGAGTGGTCTGTCTTTTTTCAAAGGAATTTCCTATTCTCCCTTTTCTTTTCTTTTCCTTTTCTTTTCATGAGAGTCGATTGAAGGTTTTTCTATGATCGTATCGACTTCTTGCCAAGCGATGCAAAAACTTTTCTCTTATGAGCTGGAAACTGAAATTTGATTTGGAAATGGTGAAAGTTGGGGACCAATTGTCAAATGACTGAAAATGAGAATTTCAAGTACTCTGAAAGTTTGATTAATTGATTGATTGATTGGTTGATCAATCAATCAATCAAACAATTGGTCGAACTTGAGATAAAAACAAGGATCGCTCAATAGTTTGTTGAAATGAAGCTTTTTTCCCAACCAGTGCTTTAGAAGTTTTCACTGACTCAATTCTTGGTGACTAATCTTTCGTTAAAACGTTTTTCAATAAGTTTACAAAAGTAGCAGATCATTTTGATTGTTGCTACAGTTTCCTAAAAGGTGCAAAAATTTAGAAATGATTACTGATCCAATGATCGCCTTCACCACTTTCGCTTTTCCAATTGCCTTTTTAAAAGCTAAGTGGATTTTCTAGTCACATCTTGTAAAGTTTTGAGAAAATTAAAACTGATTTCGGCTCTCAGGTTCAATTTGATGCTGGATAATCGAAAAAGACATTTGACAAAACATTCAATTAATGGAACATTCAAATTTTGCAATAAAACAAAAGTATTCTATTTTTCATATACTAAACATTCCAAATATAACACGCCTCTTCGAAAGTGATCAACAATTACTTGTTGTCTTTTGAGCCAACAAAATGTTCAGTTGGCAAATAATTTATTCATTCTTCTTGGTGCTGATGAGTCGATACTCATGACAATTCAACTTTTAAAATTAAAAATTTTAGAGCCAACCTGATTTCTCTATTTAGACCATACCCGAAAATCATACCCGAAGTCGAACGAATCGACGACAACATTGATGGAAGCGAGATGGCACTCCAATGATCTATCGAACATTTCAAGAAGCAGTTCAGTGAGAAGTTCGACAAGCAGATTGAGAGGTAGGTGACACGAAAACTTGTAACTCAAGTAACCCTCAATTGTAGATTTTAAGGCTAAAACAAAACAAGATCTGCTTTCTTAAAATACAAATTCTTTTGGGGATGTTTGGTTACAACTTTTAACAGTCAGCTTTCAGATGTGAAACTATGTTGGCTATTGAGGATCAGAAAAGATAAAAGTCATGACAAATAGCATTGAACGTTCATTGTTTTACTGGAAGATTTACATCAAGTGTCTGATCTGAACACTAATATCGGTTTTAAAACCACTGTAAACGAAAATCTGTGTTACACTCATTAAAAATAGATATTTTGTACTTCCTTTCAAATTATTGCTCATCTGCACACCTAAAAGTTGGAAAGCCGATCGAATTATCACATCTGATCAACTAGATATTTTCCTTGCAAATTTTCTGATTTATAAAAACGCTTGATGAAATAACAAAATGGATAACATGAATATGTGCAAAAGGTTAACAAAATAAACAAAAAGACGGTAAACAATTCAATTACTTGAGTGGATCGACGAGGCTTGATGATTCTTTCAATTCTTCCTGTGATCAACTAATTTTCTAAAGAAGATTTTTAAAAGAAGTAATACAACAATAAAAAATCTGTGAAAAAAAATATACCTGGAAACCATCTGTATCCACAAGTTTTTCGTGTTCTTTCACAATACCTAAACAGGAAATATTTATGGAACTATCGAGTAAACAAACCCATAAGCGGACCGTGCCACCACGGAGTCAAGTAAAATTGCTTCTTCCCCCTTGGAATTGGACCGTTTCGCGAAGGTTGCTCTTTTAGACAATCGGGAAGTGGACAAACGATGCCATACTTGTATCCCCTGTCAACTTCATTTCTCGGAAGCTTCTTGAAACATTGTTCGCAAATAGCGTGACCACACAACACTTCATATGGTTTTTTGTAAGTAGAAGTAACTAAAAATATAATTTGAGTACATAACGAGTGTTAGTTAAAGTTTGAATCTGACTTAATAACAAAGAAATTAAATTAAACTAATGTAACAAGCAAGAAATTCACTTACAACCCCTATTGCACTTCTGACATTCGAGAAAAAAATTCTAAAAAAAATAAGTCTTAAAGCAACAATTAGTAAAATACCTCGCCGTAGGTCCAGCCAATAGGTTTTTCTTTTGCATCACTTTTGAGTGTCATTTTCTCGGTCAGCCCTGCAATTTAGAATAAGGTTTTGAAAAAGTAAACTAACCTTCGATGAAGCTCCTCCGCTTTCTTCGAAGTCAATTTTCGCGAAAGCATTCTTCAGTCAAGTAAAATAGCTTCTTCCCCCTTGGAATTGGACCGTGTCGCGAAGGTTGCTCTTTTGGACAATCGGACATTGGACAAACGATGCCATACTCGAATTTCTTGTCAACTTCATTTCTGGGAAGCTGGTGGCGCTTGAAACATTGTTTGCAAATAGCGTGACCACACAACAATTCACATGGTTTTTTGTAAGTAGAAGCAACTAAAAATATAATTTGAGTACATAACGAGTGTTAGTTAAAGTTTGAATCTGACTTAATAACAAAGAAATTAAATTAAACTAATATAAAAGCAAGAAATTCACTTACAAGCCCAATCGCACTTCTGACATTTGGGACTAAGGAAATTCTGAAACAAAAACAAGTCTTAAAGCAACAATTAGTAAAATACCTCGCCGTAGGTCCAGCCAATAGGTTTTTCTTTTGCATCACTTTTGAGTGTGATTTGCTTGGCGCGTTTCAGCTCTGCAATTTTAATTAAGGTTTTGAAAATGTAAAGCAAACTAACCTTCGCTGAAGCTGACATTTCTGTCAAACCAATTTCCGTAAAAGCATTCTTCAGGGTGACATTTTGGGTGAAAAGCTGGATCTAAAATTGCAAAACTAAGTTAGAAGCTCACATTTAAAGCTGATTACATAAACTTTTTGTAAACCTTTTTTGTTTTGCTTTTCCGAGAAACACTTCTCGCACATCGCCGTCAAAGAGCGACAAAACGTGTAACGAAGAGACGTGTCGTATCCTCCGGAAAAAACTAAAATGAGCAAATTTTTTAGTTAAATATCAATTAAACCTAGCAACGCAGCATTGAACTATTTGAGCACAAGTTAGTACAAAAATAACTCACATGGCACTCTACAAAAAGCACAATTCAACGATTCGATGATCTCATTTGGTTGAACGACCGCCATTTTCGTTCGGAATCTAAAAAAACAGCATTAAGTGGTTTTAAAAACTGAAAATGAAAACAAAACGCAAAGAGACAAAGTAGGGACAAAAATTCCAAACTTTTCTTTCTGATTTTTCTTTCAAAATTTTCAGGAAGAACCTTTTGAAACTTTCAGACTAAATATTTTGTGGTTTTTATGAAAATTTCTAGATATTCAATTACAAGATAACTAGCAACCCCCAACAGTTTAGCTGTAAAGTTTCCATCTTGAAATTTGAAATTTCCAACGAATTGAAGTAAGTTGTTTATCACAAATGCATACAAACATCGCGAAAGAACAGAAAGTGTGCCTATAAAACATAAAAACTCCGTGTGTTTACCCAATAATCAGCCTCGATTCTTTAAAAACTGCATAATTGCCCTGTTTTTTTTTGATATTCTAAAAGAAAAAGCTTCAGTTCACCGAAGTTTTATTGGTTACTAATATTTTGATTTCTGATTTTGAAGTCACATCGAATGATAGATGTCGCTAAAACGCGTAGAAGAGCTCGAACTTCCGCTGGCAATTGTTTCGGGAACGGTGAGTTACAGGATCAGCAAAAACTCAAAAACTTTTCAACTGGTATTTTTCTCACTAGCAACAGTTTATATAGCCTTTATGGCTTTGCTAATCATCTTTGAATTTGGCAACTCTGAGTCCCTATGGCTCAGAAAGTGAAAAAAGCTTGTTGTGGCCAATTTTAATGTAAAAATCACTGATCTAACAAAAGGATGTATTTCTCGCATGAATGATTATCATTTTTTGTGACAAATTCTACTTATAACCGATTTTACAGTTTGGTTTCCTTGGCCTATCTATCGAAACATCGATTGTCTATGTCCTCTACAAGAAGGCTCGTTTCTCTCGATCAGTGAAAGCTTTCTTGTTCGCGAATGTTATTGGTCGAATCTATCAACATCTTTACGCTTTCTATGAAGCTTTTTGCAACATCGAGTTTAAATTCCAATTAATTTTTTAATTATCTTGAGATTTAGACAAAATTGTTTTCTGTTTGAGCGAGAAGTGGCAAGTGCTTGGCTGTCGAATGTAATTCTTTCGACAATTTTCAAATCCATTCAGTTTGCTATGGTTTTCATTGATTTCGGCTTATCGTTAAACAGGTAATTCAAGAAAGAAAGTATAAAATGAACAACAACAGTCAAGTTAAGTTGTCCAAGTATCTTTAATACTACCGCTGGCCAAGTAATCAAGCAGTTCGTAGTACGCTGTACGGTAGTACGTAATACGTATGTACGGTAGTACGTAGTACTCAACGGTACGGTAGTACGCTGTAATTAAAGTCTTAAAAGAGTAAAAGCCATCAATTCACTTGTTCCAAAACTTTTTGTGCTACTCAGCTAATAGAAATACAAGTATTTATTTCTGGAATTTTTATCGTTTAACTTGTTGACAAGCTAGTAGTTTTCCTACTGAATTTACAGTTTCAAAGCTCACACAGTTTCTTCAACAGGCGTCAAGTGCAAAAACAAGCACTGTAGCTGAATTTTAAAAGTTAGTAATTGTAAAAAAAGTAAAGACTAGTAATTGCAATAACTAGTCTAGTAATCGTAACTTTGTTCCTACGCCAGCTCTCATTTCCCTTTAAATGTCACAACGCAATGAATCAGACCTACAATCTCAGAGTCTTTGCCGTTTTCTTCGATGGACGGCTGTACCAAATGGCCGACAAAATGTCCCTCTATCACATCTCAATCAGCCTCTTGTGTCCTATTTGTCTTTATGGAAGCTTGATCCAACAAAGTAAACCTTTCTTTTCCGATTCCTAATCAGTCCTCCAGAATTCCAAACATACCATAGCGATGGCTTTCTGATTGGCGGAAATCAGCTCACTGGCTTTTACTATGACTCATTCAATTTTCGAATTGTAATGAATTATCCAGCGTTTTTCTCGTCTTTCTCTAATTTGTTTCTCGCTTTTGAGAATTTGCAAATGTTCATGATGCAGCCGATGATTGCCGCTGATCTTTGGGTGTTGTTGCAAGTGAGAATGATGGTGAGTTGAAGTTGAAAACACCCAAATTTGCACAAGTCATAGTAATTTCTTTACCCAAACCATTTCTGAGCAAAATATGCTTTTGTTGACAAAACAAAACGAAACCCAAAGTATTTCTGTGACTGAGCAGATCGGGTAAAATCGATAAAGTGATTTTTTTAGGTTAATCCTCAAACTCTTTACAAAATATGGATTGATCTGGTAAAAGTTTACAAAACTTATACTTGTTCTTGAAAAAGTTTAAGACTGCGTTTAATAGTTCAGAAGAATTCATATTCATGGTCAAAAATCGGTTCAAATCTCAAATATAGATCCTAACATTGATACCAGAATGGAAACATTAGCCATTTGAAACTTTGCTTAACTCAAACCTTCAAAGTGAATCTATTCAGAACCACAAATTGAACCGTCAAAACTCAGCAGACACACGATTGGCAATACTAGTCAGTCACATTTCTTAAACTTCAACCACAACATTTCCAGGCTCTCGCCTCTCATTTGATGAACATCTCCCACTATTTAAACTATCAACTAACTTCCATTTTCGACCTGAATAAAACCGTTTTTGTGACGTTTCTCGCCGACAATTTGGTGGCCAAAATTGCCGCAATTATCGAGGGGTAAAGGTTGGAAATTATGGGCTGTAAATTATTCTTTTAGGCTGGTAATTCTTGGGTTCAGTTGGCCGCGTGAGGAGGATGGGAAAACGATCAAAGTACAGGAAAAAGAGACAACCACATCGGCTCGCGAGCGACGACGGACAAAGCCTGAGTTTTAGTGAAAATGAATCAATAAACAATACGTTTATTCAAGCAATTGAAATATTGGTGATCATCAGATTAGCAAAAGATCAAATGACAAAAGACACAGGTAAAAGTACATGCTAATCTCTTGATTGGCAGATGTTTGATCGAATTAGGCACACCAAAAGCAGCATCCTCAAATTTTACTAGTAGCTTGAAAATGAGCCGTTTAAGCTGATAACTCTTTCGAGTGTACAATTGAATCAATAAGTAGGAAAATGTTGACAATGGAAATTCAACCAACCTTCTCACCAATTTTCAACTCAAAAGTCAGCTTTGTTTTGATTTAAATTGAAACTCACGCCACTATTGCATTAGAGTAAATGGGCAACAAAGTGTTGACGATGAAGTCAAGTGTGTGCAAGTTGGACATTAAAATGTTCAAGATCAGCGCACAGCCACGTTGAAATGTGTCCAACATCGAGGTGATTAGCATCTGATTTGAATACAATATTATTTGATCTGTCAAATGGTAATATGATACATCTACTATATATAAAGCAGAAGAGACGTCCGTCTGTCTGTCCGTCTGTCTGTCCGTCTGTCTGTCCGTCTGTCTGTCCGTCTGTCTGTCCGTCTGTCTGTCCGTCTGTCTGTCCGTCTGTCTGTCCGTCTGTCTGTCCGTCTGTCTGTCCGTCTGTCTGTCCGTCTGTCTGTCCGTCTGTCTGTCCGTCTGTCTGTCCGTCTGTCTGTCCGTCTGTCTGTCCGTCTGTCTGTCCGTCTGTCTGTCCGTCTGTCTGTCCGTCTGTCTGTCCGTCTGTCTGTCCGTCTGTCTGTCCGTCTGTCTGTCCGTCTGTCTGTCCGTCTGTCTGTCCGTCTGTCTGTCCGTCTGTCTGTCCGTCTGTCTGTCCGTCTGTCTGTCCGTCTGTCTGTCCGTCTGTCTGTCCGTCTGTCTGTCCGTCTGTCTGTCCGTCTGTCTGTCCGTCTGTCTGTCCGTCTGTCTGTCCGTCTGTCTGTCCGTCTGTCTGTCCGTCTGTCTGTCCGTCTGTCTGTCCGTCTGTCTGTCCGTCTGTCTGTCCGTCTGTCTGTCCGTCTGTCTGTCCGTCTGTCTGTCTGTCCGTCTGTCTGTCCGTCTGTCTGTCCGTCTGTCTGTCCGTCTGTCTGTCCGTCTGTCTGTCTGTCCGTTTGTCTGTCCGTTTGTCCGTCTGCCTGTTTGTCTTTGCGCAAACGCGACGCTCCGTAATTATGTTTCTTTTATCGGATAAAAGGCGAAGTATTCAGCTCCCAGGGGCTTTCAGCTATGAGGAATTTAACTTTTAGGTTCATTTTTAAAAAGAGGCGGAGCTTAACATGGGTTACGGTAGTTTTAGTCATTTGAATGGACTTCGCCAGTGGAAAACCCGGACAAAGTGAGCTTTTTCCGCTGGTTGTTGTTATATTTAGAAAAAGTAAAAAGATTTTTCTAGTCAATGACTCACCACAAAGTGCAGGGTACTGGCTGATTCGCCGCCTTTTTCAGCAGAACTCTGAATTTGTTTTTGGATGTACTGTTTATTCAAAATAACCTCGTGTTGACGAGAGTTGTAGAAAAGAACCAAATTTGCGAGAAAAATGAAAGGTGAGAGCCTGGCATAGATTGCCCTTGTCTCGATCATGAGACCATTCCAGAAGTCGCCGGATTTCTGCGAAGAAATACTTTCTATTCTCCAAAATGGATCATATCGATAGCCAGCTTGGGGAAGACCATCCGGATTCACTAAATTAAAATAGAATTTAAACATTAAGTACCCAATCTACTTGTGTACTCAACAGATAACAGAAATGGGATTGATGGGAAAAGGACAACGATCGGCAGGAAGAATCTCGAGAATTTTTTAGCCTCGTTTCCATAAAAAGCACCAAATTGAAAATGGAGACCACTGGGGATTTTTAGTTATTTAATTCGTTTATCAGTTACCAATCGATTAGTAGACCGAGATGGAGTAAAAGCAGCGAAGCAGTGATACCGAGATGGAGATTTGTTGTGACTTGATTTGTGATGAAGGGTGTGCCCTCTTTTGTGCACCACCAACTAAAATATTAGGATTGTCCATAAGTCTTTTGACTTATGGACCATTTGAGTGAAAAATTAATTCTCCAGTGGCTGAAGTTACCAGTCAATATAATATAGTTATGTTTGTAAAGTTGGTCGCGTCCGTTTCCTTCCTATTTGCGTTCCTATTTTGCAATTATTCGCGTCGCATTTTGTTGTTTTTTTTTGGCTTTCGTTTTGGGGGATTTTGATATTTTCTATTGGTGCGCATGCTGTTTTTGTAATGGGTATGGTTGCATTTTGGTTTTGTACTAATAAACAGTAAAATTATAAATTCAATTTACTTTATGCTACCCTTCAGGTTTTAAATCCTATTTAGATAGCTGGTTTAACATTGTAGAAAGAATTTACTAACATTTGTGTCACCACCGACGAGTATTAATCTTGTGTTGAATGCTGCGCGTTCTTGTTATGTTGTAAGCGCTTTGGGGAAACCCTTTTTAACCTTTTTGTGCTATTCGGCTATTCTGAAGCAAAGTCATCCTCGATGATAAGGTTAAAGCGGGTCGCACCCCAAACTAGTTTAAAGATTTACACTACTAATCACTCAATCAGCCATCAGCTGTATGCTTTCTTATTCTTTATTTTTCGATGACTTGAGTAAAAACCTCATTTTTGAGTTAAGTTGCTTTAGAGGCTCTTGTAGAAAAACTGTTTGGAGATTTCTTTGCCATTTTAAAGACGCTAACTGTAGAAGGGTTCTTGCTTTAAGTTGAAAAAAGTCTTATGAGGATTTACAAGTGAGGGAGCTGAGATATGAGGATTCCTTTCTGGACTAAACACCTCTTTGCAGTGGAAAAATCTCGTGAATTTCAGAAAACATTTAATTTTTTTTGCAAAGATAGAAAGCTAATTGGAATTAATTTTTGTTAACTTTTGAGACAATTTAGGGTACTTCCCCTAAAAGGGGGTGAGAATTTACCGGATTTTTTTCTCTGCACCTTATTTAGACTCATTAAATTTGTTTTTCTGTGTGTTCTCCGCGCGTCACGTGGTTTCCGGCCCCTTTAAAAAAACACGGTGTGACGCAGGTCACTTCCCGGTTGCGCATCACGAGCTAGCACGGACAGGGGAATCTCGATTTCTAAATGGGTTAGCCACCAATTTTCCTAAGCTTTCTTTTGTTATAAACTATTTACATGAGGTTAAAGAAATCAAATTAATTAGTAGCCCGTAAACCGTAAATTTTCTAGTAAAGATTTAAAAAGTGTCAAAAGACTTATGCACCACCCTAATATTTAGTTGATTTTAATTTTCGTATAAAACTTTCAAGTTTTCCCTTACCAATTCATCATTTAAACTGTCGTCAGGCTAGCTAACATCTTGTGATGTGTTAAAGTTTATCAATAGGTAGATTTAGTCCGTTTTCAGCGAAACCTACGTGAAATCGCAAACACTTGTGTAAACTGGATGCAGAAAGATGAACATTCTGAGAAAAACGATGCAACATAGATAGTTTTTAATCGAGAACTGCGATCGATTCTTGAAGAGAAAAGGAAATGAGGCTGCTGATGACAGAAGTCCGATAGAACTTGGCTAAAAGGTTGACTTTTAGTTGTGTGATTACAGTGTTGATAATTGAGTCATTTAGAATCGCTTTTAGATTACAGGAAACCAAACAAATTCAATTCTGTAACAAACTAACTGCTCAACTCACAATGTTCAACAATAAAGCCGTCCACAAATCCCATTCAGCGATCACTTTGTGATATTTCTCTAGGAAAAGCCCGGTTCCATCCGTAAGACATTCGTTCCATGAGTGACAAATCTAAAGGGCTGACTTAAAGTTTTAACATTCGAGTTTTACTGCATTCGGTGCCGGAATGAAGTCACTCGATTGATTGGATGAATCCTGGGTTGTCGATGAAAATCCACCCAAGTCACAGGTCATCGAATAGGTTTCAGTTAGGTTTTGTTCTACAAATAAGTGTACTTACAAGGGGAACTATAACTGCTTACCATCTCAGATTGACTCCAAAATTACAGGCGGAAAGAACATCAAAAAATGAATTTTTTCTGCTAAATGCTAGAAATAAGGTTCGGCTTCTTCCCAGATTCTTTGCTTTTTCTGCAAAACCATAGAATGTGCGTCCTCTATCGGATTGCGTAATCGCCCGTCTACTGGCACACTGCCTGCATATAAGATCTCCGTTTTTGGCCGTTGGCATCTTTCAACGCTTCAGATGCTCGTCGATGAATTTGGACTCAACTCTGATAGCTCTTCTCCGACTCGACAAGAAGCGAAGCTAAAGGGCGTCTTCCCTCATCTTCTCCATGAGGCCGAGTAAAAAAAAAATTGAGCAATAGAGAACGCACATTCTATGGTTTTGCAAAAAAAAGAAAAAGAACCTGGGACGGAGCCGAACCAGCCGGCCCTTGGGCTACCAGGTCGGTCCTTTACTCGGCCACTCGGCTACTCGTCCGGTGCGTGTGAGAGTTCCCTTTAAAGAGTGTCATGTAAATCCCCAAAAATGTTTAATTTTAAGCTAAAACTTTGAAGCCTTATATTTCAGTTATTTCTAGCATTTAGCAGCTAAAACTTCAGAAAATTTTTATTTTTTTTGATGTTCTTTCCCCCTGTAATTTTGGAGTCGATCTGAGATGGTAAGTAGTTATATTTCCCCTCAATAGATTTTTGAGATTCTCACTGAATCCACTTTTCGAGATGCTTTTCGGATGGACCAAGCTTGGTCCGTATGGATGGAAAGGTGGGTAGTTTGGGGAGCAGCGATCAATTGACTCGGAAATAGTGTCCCAATTCGCATTACAGTAGTCCTCGGCACAAACATAAACAATATAATTTGGGGAAAATACGTAGCCACCTCTCTGAAGTCAGTTGAAGTTTTATCGTTTATATTGTTTTAGCTGCATTCACCTCAATTCGTCCCTCTGCATACTGCCAGTCTTGCCAGAGACAGCCGCTTTTGAAAGTGTTGTGCTGAAAAGTTCAAAACAACATATAGGGTGCGCCAGAATTACTGATACACCTTTTCAGCAGATTGCTTGCCAACGCCGCAATCCAATCAAAAACCCTAAGTGTTATATAGAGAATTGAAGCCTGAATTCTTGCCTACATTTCGGTACCAAAAGATCTTTGATCCGAGTTTTGCAGCCCATCTTTCAGACCCTCAAATGAGCTCAATCCGACCAGACTCGAGACGCTTTCATTTTTAGTTATTTTCTAACTAAAAAACTTGTATGTGGGAAGAATTTTTCTTTAGGAAAAGCACATTTTTATTCTTTTAAAATTTTACAGCTTTAGGACAGCACGTACGGACATAAAAACTAAGAATTAAATACCCCAAAAACTCAAACTTCGCCAAAATCGCCGAACATTCGAAGAGTACTATCTTTAATTCAAGTTCTGGTTAGGTTAAAATTGTCAAAATACTTTTATGTTATCATCGTTTTTCATACCATTCAAAATCCTATCTTTTCATGCATTAAACAACCGGAAAATTCTTGTTAGAAATTTTTTTAGTTAGAAAATAACTAAAAATGAAAGCGTGTCGAGACTGGTCGGATTGAGCTCATTTGAGGGTCTGAAAGATGGGCTACAAAACTCGAATCAAAAATCTTTTGGTACAGAAATGTAGACAAGAATTCAGGCTTCAATTCTCTAAATAACACTTAAGGTTTTTGAATTGATTGCGCCGTTTGGTATGCAATGTGCTGAAAAGGTGTATCCCTAATTTTGGCACACCATGTATTTAAGCCTTGTAGTGACACAATCTAGTAGTTAGGCCTCAATTTATAAAGTTAAAAGAATTGAAAAAATAATTTGCTATAATGTGATCAACTTTAGAGAAAGCTGGGGTTAATTGTTAGAACAGTTTGCCTTTGTTATATTTGCCCTTCGCCTTTGTTACATTGAAGAAGAATAAACTTTGCAGAAAATAGAAATTTAATACTGGATCTAACTCACATTCACATCAAAAACAAGTAGACACGCCTGGGCTTCACAAATTCCGATTGTACTGTCTAAAGATCACAGTTCTTTTTTTCATTTTGAAGAGCTTACTTGAGCTCTTAAGAAAACAAAAAACAGACGTCTCGTTGAGGAAATCGAGCTTCAAATTGTTACATTCAGCCTAAAGCTCTAGTTGCTAGAGAAAATTTACCCAATCACATGTCATGTGGAGATCAATTTTTTCTTTTTTGAACTGATAGCCGTAGATTCCACCATTGTATGCGCTAAAATGAGATACTTATTTAACAAGCCATTAACTACAGTACGGTATTCCTCCATTGAAAATAATGTCATCGAGTTGATAGAGATTCGACCAATTATCCCCCGTTCTTCCAGTCCAAGTAGCTTCTGTCCAAGTGGAAATGTTTCCAGATCTCTGAACTTATCTTTTTAAGTTTACTGGCTTCAGTTTTTGTTTTTACTCTTTACCGACATTGAAAAACATGACGTTAATTTAATAAAGTTGATCTTTTTCGATCTGTCGTTGTTGTTTTTTTCTATAACAACTCACCATCACTGTCCCATTGATCACACAAATCGTCCCATTCGTCTTCTTCATTTTATTCCCCACAACTGTCGGCCATTGATCGTTGTAACCTTGTTTAAACTAAATTCCGATGCAAATTTTTATTGATAAGCCATCCACCGTATACAAATTGCACCGAGTTCGAACGTATCTCGTCTTCAACGGCAACGTCACATTCCCGAATTTCACCCATGTTTCACTGGCTGTCCAATTGGGCGAGTTGAGGTTACGTGTTGGAGAGTCACTTAATTTGTTTAATACTTATTATAAGCTGTTTAGCTGTTTTAGAAAGCTTTAGATGTGTGTCTGTTTAGCTGTTTTAGAAAAAAAACAATCGGTCTGAAAACTTGAATATCATATCTAAAATTTTATTTAGTTTCCAAAATCTAATCAGTTTTATGGGTTAAACAAGCCGTTTTTTGTAAAAACGCAGCTTCTCGATTTCCCCTTATGAGCGTGGTCGGGTGGTCTAACAAAGGAATGGTCCGAACTGGTCAGATGATTTCGCTGCGCTGCTGAAATGCAAACGCCTATCGAGCATGGGAACACGATGCTTTATTTATTTTTAGCCCATTCTCAATGGTTTACAAGAAAAACGCTTGCAAAGTTTGGACACCTACTCGGGAAATCGCACCTCGGGGATATATGGGCTCTTTCCCTACCCCTTAACCGTGACCGGATGTTGTAGAGGTAAGGGTGCGCGCTCCTGGTCTCAACTTTGCTTTGCTTGGCGTCCATTTGGATCCGGTTGCAAAAAATTTTTTCTGCTGACCTAGTTCTGAGCTTCTTTCCGTTATTTCGGGTGATAACATCTGAATTAAAAAAATATTATTTAAACTGCGAAAAGAAAAAAAAAGAAAATAGAATCGACTAAAAATTTTAGACAAAAAAATTTAACGGAACTATAAAAAAATAATCAGAACTAGGTCAGCACTTTTTTTTGATTTTCGGAGCTTTTGAGTGTCATCTGTTCTTAAAAATAATTATTGGAGATTCTAAAATAAATAAAAAGTGTTTTTAAAGGTTTAGCAAAAGAAAGCAAAAAAATTGTTGAAACGGGATCCAAACCAACGCCAAGAAAAGTAAAGTTCAGATCAGGAGCTGTGTGCTTGTTAGTACTTGTTAGTACTTGTAAAGTATTCCAAAGGTTTTCTATTTTCAAACAACTCACTCGCATAGACACATCACAGTGACCTGTTGTTCGATTTGATCCCAGAAACACCTCGGTGTCCACCATTTCATCCCAATCACCCCTCCAAGATATGTCCGATCGCCGACACCAGCATAGGCCGTGTAGCACATTGAACCCATCACAACAGTCCATTCTCTGTAACGAATAATAACTAGATTCATCTAATATAATATAATATTGCAACATTCGCAACTCACTGTAATGAAAAATTGCTATTGGTTAAAAATTTGTGCCCGGAAGTTTTCCGAGGTTGACCTGATTTTTTTGCCTAACAAAAACTCTAAAATACTAAACTAAAAGTTCCACCACCAAAGCTTTTAGTCAAAAATTCGGATAATTTCTGGTTGTGTACAGAAATGTACAGAAAGTACAGAAAGTACAGAAAGTACAGAAATACAGAAATTATTCACATCTGAATATTTTCTTGTTTCTCTAACTTCGAATTCTTATGTTTCGCCGATGAACTGTAGATCGAATCAGCACACTCAAGCATCCGACATTTAACAGTTTGCAGTAAGAAAAGAAGAATGAACTTGTAAGGTTTCATCAGATATGAATCAATAACAAAATTTGGGTGTAAAACTTTGAGTTTATTCTTCTGCGAGCTTTCAAAGGTCATGATTAGGGTAATTTATGGGTTTGTGAGGCCTGTGAACTATTTTTCAAATAAAACTTCCCTTTTGCGTTTTTGCGGTGCTAAAATTACTCCAAACAAACAATTTGAAAGCTTCTGTCACATTTAAGCAAACCAATAAATATACTTTAATTTATTTTTCACCACTTTCGCTTTTCGAATTGCTTTTTTAAAAGCTAAGTGGATTTTATAGTCACATCTTGTAGAGTTTTGGGAAAATTAAAACTGATTTTAGCTCTCAGCTCATAGAAAGACCAATTGATCCACGTGATGACATAATTTGCGATGAATTAAGGCAATATTCAATGCAATGAAATGGTTTCTCTCGATGGCATTCATGCCGATCTGATCAATTTTCAATAGATGTCATCGTACTTGCACTTTACCTGAAATTTTGGGATACTGGTTCTTGTTGAGTCATGTGGCTCTATTTTAAATTCAGATGTCTATCGAATACAGTATTGAAACCAGGAACGATGGCACTTAGTGTTGATCTGCGTTGTGTGGCTGGACAATACGAATTTGCCGCACTGGTCTTTACTGGTGGTAAGACTGGAAACCATCAGCCGCTAGTTTTGGCGTCTGGTGATTATGTTTTTTGTGCTGAACTTGTTTAACTTAACACATTTGCCATACATTTGTATAAATTTGACTTTATCTAATACTTTTGGATCTCGAGAAAGCAATGTTAGCTACCGTATTTATTCTAAAGCGCCTGCGCTTCTATTTTCTTCAATCATTCCACAAAATTGCTTCTATTCGAGACTATATAGAATAAATACGGTATTTACAAATAAATCTCATTCAATTTAATGATGGATAACCGAAAAAGACACTTGACAAACCATTCAATTAATGGAACATTCAAATTTGGCAATAAAACAAAAGTAATTCTATTTTTCATGTACTAAACATTCCAAATATAACACGCCTTTACGAAAGTGATCAATAATTGCTTGTTGTCTTTTGAGCCAACAAAATGTCCAGTTGGCAAATAATTTATTCATTTTTCTTGGTGCTGATGAGTCGATACTCATGACGATTCAACTTTTAGAATTAATAATTTTAGAGCCAAACTGATTTCTCTATTTAGACCATACTCGAAGTCGAACGAATCGAGGACAACATTGCTGGAAGCGAGATGGCACTCCAATGATCTATCGAACATTTCAAGAAGCAGTTCAGTGAGAAGTTCGACAAGCAGATTGGGAGATAGGTGACACGAAAACGTGTAACTCAAGTAACCCTCAATTGTAGATTTTAAGGCTAAAACAAACCCAGATCTGCTTTCTTAAAATATAAATGCTTTTGGGGATGTTTGGTTACAACTTTTAACAGTCAGCTTTCAATGTGAAACGATGTTGGTTATGGAGGATCAGAAACGATAAAATTCATGACAAATAGCATTGAACGTTCATTGTTTTACTGGAAAATTTACATAAAGTGTCCGATTTGAACACCAATATCGGTTTTAAAACCACTGTAAACGAAAATCTGTGTTACACTCATTAAACATTGATATTTTGTACTTCCTTTCAAATTTTCGCTCATCTGCACACCTAAAAGATGGAAAGCCGATCGAATTATCACATCTGATCAACTAGATATTTTTCTTTGCAAATTTTGTATGATTTTTAAAAACGCTTGATGTAATAACAAAATGGATAACATGAATATGTGCAAAAGGTTAACAAAATGGATAACATGAATATGTGCAAAAGGTTAACAAAATAAACAAAAAGACGGTAAACAATTCAATTACTTGAGTGGATCGACGAGGCTTGATGATTCTTTCGATTCTACTTGCGATGAACAACTTTCTAAAGTAGATTTTTAAAAGAAGTAATACAACAATACAAAAATCTGTGAAAAAAATATACCTGGAAACCATCTGCATTAGACTTGTGTTTCGGTTGAACCGGAAACGTTCTTTTTCGGTTCGGTTTCGGTTTCGGTTTCGGTTAACCGAACCGAACCGAAAAAAAATATTTTTCGGTTGAACCGAAACCGAACCGAACCGAAAAAATCATCTTTTCGGTTGAACCGAAACCGAAACAAACCGAAAAACTAATCTTTTCGGTTCAACCGAACCGAACCGAACCGAAATTCGATAACGTGCGATAAAGTGAAACAATGCAAAACGCAATAAATTTATGCGAATTACGCCAAACTCTCTTTATATTATTGCATTTTTGTTGATAAATTTGTTAAGAAATTAATTAGCTTTTCAAATTACAATCGCTAAAAATAATTTGAGTCAACCGAAACCGAACCGAACCGACAAACTCAGTTTTCGGTTGAACCGAAACTGAACCGAACCGAAAAATTCATCTTTTCGGTTGAACCGAACCGAGCCGAAAGACTCATGTTTTCGGTTGAACCGAACCGAACCGAACCGGAAGATTTCGGTTGACTTCGGTTGAACCGAAACCGAAACCGAACCGAAAAGAGCCAACCGAAACACAAGTCTAATCTGCATCCACAAGTACTTTCTTCTTTTCACCTTTCACAATACCTAAACAGGAAATATTTACGGATCTATCGATTAAACAAACCCATAAGCGGACCGCCCCACCACGGAGTCAAGTAAAATTGCTTCTTCCCCCTTGGAATTGGACCGTTTCGCGAAGATTGCTCTTTTTGACAATCGGGAAGTGGACAAACGATGCCATACTCGTATCCCCTGTCAACTTCATTTCTCGGAAGCTTCTTGAAACATTGTCCGCAAATAGCGTGACCACACAACAATTCACATGGTTTTTTGCCAGTAGATGTAACTAAAATATAATTTAAGTACATAACGAGTGTTAGTTAAAGTTTGAATCTGACTTAATAACAAAGAAATTAAATTAAACTAATATAAAAGCAAGAAATTCACTTACAAGCCCAATCGCACTTCTGACATTTGGGACTAAGGAAATTCTGAAACAAAAACAAGTCTTAAAGCAACAATTAGTAAAATACCTCGCCGTAGGTCCAGCCAATAGGTTTTCCTTTTGCATCACTTTTGAGTGTCATTTTCTCGGTCAGCCCTGCAATTTAGAATAAGGTTTTGAAAAAGTAAACTAACCTTCGATGAAGCTCCTCCACTTTCTTCTAAGTCAATTTTCGCGAAAGCATTCTTCAGTCAAGTAAAATTGCTTCTTCCCCCTTGGAATTGGACCGTGTCGCGAAGGTTGCTCTTTTGGACAATCGGACATTGGACAAACGATGCCATACTCGAATTTCTTGTCAACTTCATTTCTCAGAAGCTGGTGGCGCTTGAAACATTGTTTGCAAATAGCGTGACCACACAACAATTCACATGGTTTTTTGTAAGTAGAAGCAACTAAAAATATAATTTGAGTACATAACGAGTGTTAGTTAAAGTTTGAATCTGACTTAATAACAAAGAAATTAAATTAAACTAATGTAACAAGCAAGAAATTCACTTACAAGCCCTATTGCACTTCTGACATTCGAGAAAAAAATTCTAAAAAAAACAAGTCTTAAAGCAACAATTAGTAAAATACCTCGCCGTAGGTCCAGCCGATAGGTTTTCCTTCTGCATCACTTTTGAGTGTGATTTGCTTGGCGCGTTTCAGCTCTGCAATTTTAATTAAGGTTTTGAAAATGTAAAGCAAACTAACCTTCGCTGAAGCTGACATTTCTGTCAAACCAATTTCCGTAAAAGCATTCTTCAGGGTGACATTTTGGGTGAAAAGCTGGATCTAAAATTGCAAAACTAAGTTAGAAGCTCACATTTAAAGCTGATTACATAAACTTTTTGTAAACCTTTTTTGTTTTGCTTTTCGGAGAAACACTTCTTGCACATCGCCGTCAAATAGCGACAAAACGTGTAACGAAGAGACGTGTCGTATCCTCCGGAAAAAACTGAAATGAGCAAATTGTTTAGTTAAAAACCAATTAAACCTAGCAACGCAGCATTGAACTATTTGAGCATAACTTAGTACAAAAATAACTCACATGGCACTCTACAAAAAGCACAATTCAACGATTCGATGATCTCATTTGGTTGAACGACCGCCATTTTCGTTCAGAATCTAAAAAAACAGCATTAAGTGGTTTTCAAAACAGAAAATGAAAACAAGACGCAAAGAGAGAAAGTAGCGACAAAAATTTCAACTTTGCTTTCTGATTTTTCTTTCAAAATTTTCAGAAAGAAAGAAGTCAGTTTTTATGATTTTTGTACCATTGTCAGATCTTGTCAAGGGCAACAAAATGGTATCAAAAGCATAAAAATTGACCAGAAACGTAAGCTATAGCGAGTTACAGAATTTCCCTCGTTGCGGAATTCGAGGGCCCCCAACAGTTTAGCTGTAAAGTTTCCATCTTGAAATTTGAAATTTCCAAAGAATTGGCAAGTTGTTTATCACAAATCCATACAAACATCGCGAAAGAACAGAAAGTGTGCCTACGTTTTGGCCTTCATTGTGGTTCGGCTACGAAAAGTTCCGGATTCTCCATTCGGTTCCCACATGGAAATGGATTTTTTTCTCATTTCAAAGAGAAACACAAAATTTATCGCGCAAAACAACAATTTCAATCAATCTGACAAAAACAAGACAACAACAAAAACAAAAGAAATGAAAAAGAAATGACGACGTGACGCTCCCATCAACTGCCTTCAAATGGTGGCGACGTCAATTGGAATGTGACGTCATGCGAAAATTAACCTTTAAAATTTGCGACGGAAATTAAAATTTAACATGAAGCGTCTCGAAATCATTCTTTACTTAAAAGTCATTTGAAAAATTGATCAAGAAACAGCTTTTTTGATCAAAAATCTATCAAAAACCTAAATTGCTGAAAAAATTTTCATTCATTTGAAAATCTTTGAAAATCATTTACTTTTTTGATCAAACCCGTCATCAAATATTGGCTCGTTTGTTCATTTTTAAGAAATAAAACAACTAGATGAACTAAAGTTTTACCTAACTTGCTCTTCTGTCAATGTACTCGGCAATGAATCAATTGATCAAGTCAAATCATAGCTCTTCCGGCTTTTCGAGGGCAACGGATAAGCTGAACCTTTTTGCTCTTTTTGCTGTTTGAACAAAAAATTTTCATGTAGAACAATGAGTAGTTGTAAAATGAAAAATTTTCTTGGTATCTAGTCAAAAATAAAAGCATGGATCTTTTTGAGTTTAAATTCACAAATTTAACCTTCAAGTTGAATAAACTAGAATAAACAAGCACAACAAACGAAGCATCGAGAAAGAATTCACAGAAAAAAGCTCATAGTTAAAGAATTTATATCCAGAGCAGTTTCTTTTCTTCGGTAATAGAAGTGTTTCGAAGAAATCGCCTTCAGCACTTTTGTTTTTGAACAGATGGCTTTGAAAAAAAGAGAATACAAGAAAAAGATAGGATGGTGACCTCCCAGGAAGCAATAAAAAGAGGAGATTTGGGAGCTGAACCATGGATTTTCGATGGAAAAGTTCAAGAAGTTCAACTTGAACACTAAATACTAACGATTGCTTATCGAACAAATTTGTGCAAAAACAAAAGCAGCTGAATAGCTTGAAATTTTTTGTTTTGTTTTTCGTTTTGTTTTTCAATTTCTATGTTCGATACGCAGCTTTGTCTTCAATAAAGTAAGGGAATGAATGGCAAAGAGTTTGGAACCGTGGGGGAATTGAACCCTGGACCTTTTGCTTACTGCTCTACCACTGAGCTATCGGCACCTTCTTTGCCCAAGAAGAAATAGGAAAGACAAGGAAGAAGAAAGAAATAGAGGGAAATACCGGGTCTTCAGAACCGTGGGCCTATTTGAAAATCAGACCACGGATATTATTAATAAAGTAAAGAGATGAATGGAAAAATCTTTGGAACCAAGGGGGTCACTTTGAAAATGTGAAAGTTCATGCATGTACAGTGGAAAAATATCTAAATAGTCGTCTGGCCCTTCCACTCATAACTTCTTAACATAAGTTTTCCGACTGCTCGTTCCCTGGGAACGGAAACTGGAATTCAAGAGTTTCTGAAGGTTTAACTGCAAAATTGAAATCATTTTACACTCACCTAACTTTTCTTCCAGTTATCATTTCTCGTTTCATAGAAATCAAGTCAAAAGATTTCAGAAGCAAACCAATAAATTCACTCAATGAAGGAATGAAGGAATTCTCCTGGCTTTTCTTGTTGTTTATCAAATGGACCTCAGCTACCTTAAAGTGGCAGCGATTCAATGAAGATACGAAGTGCCAAAAGATTCACCCCCATTTCCCCTCAGTTTCAAGGTATTCAATTCAAATTGATTGCCATTTTACATTCAAATTTAGAAATGTGCTTAGCTCTTCTAGCAGAGTTTCTAACTGGTGGCTTGTTGTTGTTTTGTGATGGAGTTGTCAAATGTTTGATGACTTGTCGAGAGAGAGAAACAAAAATGGTCACTGACAAACGTTGTGTGGTGTTCACTTTGTTGTCGAATGAAAGTTGTGAGAAAACGGAAACTCTGAGCACTGTTGAGAGCGTAGTTGGGGGAACGAAGAAGACAAATACTGTTGGGAAGAGGGAGCCTCAGCGTGACTCCGAAAACAACGGCAGCAACTGCCGCAACAACAAGTATTTCTATGACTGCGTCAATGATTTCAACGACGGCGACAACTCCTACAACAGCTACTACAACGTCTACTCTTTCGAGTCCAATTTTCGTGACAACGACTCACAAAACAGCAACGGCAACACCAACACCATCAACTACTTCAATCTGTACAACAACTGCTACAACAACAAACAAGTGGATCACGACTGCTACCACCACTGCAACAGCTCCTAGCACAATTTCAACAACAAGGCCAATATGTAGTGTGTGTACCTAATCCGTTTTCTAAAAGGCACCAATATTTTAAGCTACCATAATCAAACCGATAGTTTTCATTCAGTTAGCCCAATTTTGGTTCGTTCGATCCTAATCGATCCAGAATCATGAGACATGAGATTGTCAATAATATCAAAATTGGGCTGATCAAGTGAAAGCTGAAAGCTTACTTACGGTAGCTTTTTCAAATAGGTGTTATGTAGAAAAGGTGTTAGTTACATAGATTTAATTTCATAGATGAACGATTGGCGGACACACAAACAAATGGAATCAAATGCTTGGTTAAAATGGTGAAATGTGATCAATAAAAAAGTTTTAAGAAACATTTATTCATAGACAAGATTGTGCAAACAAGTGTATAAATATGTATATAGACTTTTAATAAATAAACTTGAAAATCTTTACTTAAAGGGATCTTCGAAGGATCTCCTCGGGAAGGGTTCCATCGATGCCACCCTCTTTCACTAACACAACTCGACCCATCTCGGCGAAAGCTTTTTGGCGGAATTGCTGAAGATTCAAAGAATATAAAAAAAAAACAGGAAATTGGTAGGTTTGAGAAGGGAGATTTCATTCTTTAAGTAGATAAACTTGAAGGGATTGGAAGAAAAGTTTAAATTCGATGCAAAACTAACTAGGGAACTGCTTTAACTTACTGGGGAAAGGCTTGAACTTCCCGTGAGCTTTCGTTTTCGGATTACATACATCTTACTAAATCGAGTATGGAGATTCGTAATTTGAAATCAAAATCTGCCAAATAAGCTTGCAAACGCATAAAAAATAAATTGAAATTTCGAAGGTAAGCTTTAAAGCGCGCTTTTAAATCACTGGGATATGGGCATCAGTGGCCGAGTGGATAATGGGACGGCCTCTTGGTTTTTTTTCTTTCAATGTAATAGTTTACAGGGTTTTACCCGTCCATTGCTCATTGTGATATAAATGAAAAAAACGCAAAAAATGCACGAGCTTTACTTTTATCAGATGTTCACATTGTGAAAATTTTTATTATTTTGGATTCTTCGTGATCTCGTTTCATATATGTTAACATTTAAGCTTTTGATTTGTTATATTGAATAGTTACAAGGTAAAGTATTACATCTAAAGAAAAAAAACCAAAAACCAAAAACCAAGAGCGAGACCGAACCCCGACCCTACTACCGAAAAGACGCCACACTATCCACCACGCTTTTCAATCACTATTCCAGTGATTGAAAAGCGCCCTTTTCAATTTTCTTTAATTCTTTAAAGTCCTCTAAAGCTTCGAAATTTCAATTCAATTTTTACGCTTATTTGGCAGATTTTGATTTCAAATTATGAATCTCCATACTCGATTTCGTTTCAATTTCAAATTTCAGTTGGATCAATTTTTATGTTTTTGATACCATTTTGTTGCACTTGCCAAGATCTACAGAATGGTACAAAAATCATAAAATTTGACTTACGGAAACGTAAGTTAGAGCGAGTTACGGAATTTCCCTAGTTGCGAAATTCGAGAACTCCCAAACTGTTTGATGTAAGACAGTTAAATGCAAATTGAGTAGCGCAATTTGCATATGAACAGGCATCAATTCAATTCAAAATCTTTTTGCACTATTTTGTAGAGGAGATTCAGAGCTTTCGAACAGTATACAACACTTATTGGCTGAGGCTTGCAATCTCTTTACTTTTGGAAAGATATGTGAGCGCTGATTTCATTTCCATCACCCTAATGGTTTTGAACAAGTTTTTTAATCAAGACAAACAAACTTTTAAACCATCAACTTACTGGACTTCTTACTATACTATTGGGTTGGTGAATTGAAAGCTGCCGGTTATTGTCATATGTGACAGTTTGAGCACTTTCTTTAAAAGAAACCCATTTTGGTGTCAATGGAAAGGTTGTAGAGAATCAAAAATTAAGCTTATATCCAAATTTTCAGAACGACTCAAAAGCTGGTTTTCAAGAAATGCCAAATTTACGAATTTTCACAAAACTTGCATTTTAAGCGAAACTACTAAGTGTATCTTTTTGAAAATTTGGTTATAAGCCTAATTTTTGATTCTCTACAACTTTTCTATTGACACCAAAATGGGTTTCTTTTGAAGAAAGTGCTCAAACTGGGCTGACGGCTGACATCTCCAGTTCTCCATTTTTGAGTCTCACACTTGTCTCACACACAAACCAAAATTCTACTACGAAAGAGGAATCCGCAAATTGCCTGTAAAATGGGCAGAAGTCGTTAATAATAATGGAAATTATTTCGAATGAATTCATGGTTTTATGCTGAATAAATCTTAGTTCAAAGTCCGGCAGTTTTCAATTCACCAACCCAATAGTTTTGAACAAGTGTTTTAATCAAGACAAACAAACTTTTAAACCATCAACTTACTGGACTTCTTACTATACTATTGGGTTGGTGAATTGAAAGCTGCCGGTTATTGTCATATGTGACAGTTTGAGCACTTTCTTTAAAAGAAACCCATTTTGGTGTCAATGGAAAGGTTGTAGAGAATCAAAAATTAAGCTTATATCCAAATTTTCAGAACGACTCAAAAGCTGGTTTTCAAGAAATGCCAAATTTACGAATTTTCACAAAACTTGCATTTTAAGCGAAACTACTAAGTGTATCTTTTTGAAAATTTGGTTATAAGCCTAATTTTTGATTCTCTACAACTTTTCTATTGACACCAAAATGGGTTTCTTTTGAAGAAAGTGCTCAAACTGGGCTGACGGCTGACATCTCCAGTTCTCCATTTTTGAGTCTCACACTTGTCTCACACACAAACCAAAATTCTACTACGAAAGAGGAATCCGCAAATTGCCTGTAAAATGGGCAGAAGTCGTTAATAATAATGGAAATTATTTCGAATGAATTCATGGTTTTATGCTGAATAAATCTTAGTTCAAAGTCCGGCAGTTTTCAATTCACCAACCCAATAGTTTTGAACAAGTGTTTTAATCAAGCCAAACAAACTTTTAAAAAACAACTTACAATACTTCTTACTATACTAATAAGATGTCTTATTATACTTTGTTAAAAGATAGTAACTTTTAGTTAGGTTCAAAAGTAAAACACAAGCTTTCTTATCGAGTTTTTCAATTTAAATCCTCACTTGTAGATGCACAGGTATTGCCATCAGATCGGAGAATCTCTGCACAGTAATTGCCTCGTTTCCAAATCGGGTAATTAGATGCTGAAATCATACTTCATTTTGAATTTTGACCATCAAAACTTGCTTGCATAAGTAGCCAAGAGTATTTGTTGAATGCTTTCCGGGCAACGTTCACGCTTTTTCCTGTAAGCCGAGCGCTAAAAACGATAGAGTTATGAAATTCTCAAAGTTAAACTTTACTTGTTGAAAAGAAAACGATATTCTTCATCAAGCAAAACTCCTCATCTTTCATTTCGGCTTTTTTCAAAAGTGGCATAAAAAAGTTTACGCCAAATGCCATGTGAAGGTTATAGGATTGGTTCCGGTAGAGACTTTGGGAAAATCTAAAACAGAATAAAGAATAGTCTGTGTTCTTTAAGAAAAACAATGTTTTCCAAAAAGTGTGCCAAGTTACCGTACCCTGAAGTTTGTTAAAATATTTAAGCTGAACTAAACTTGAACCAAACCAACAGAAACCAAAGTTTTTCGCTCTTTAGTCTATGCTTTATAATCTACTTATAAGAAGCAGAGTTACGGTAGCTTTTCACATTATAGAAAATATTTAAATGTTATTGAAAAGTAACTTACCCTCGTTCTCCCATTGATTCACTTGCTTGTCGGTAAGTGCCAAAAGCCGAGAGAACCCCATTCTCAAAGCCCATCGAATAGGAGTAGTAGTAAAGGGTGAGTACCCACAAAATGTTGAAGTTCGTCGAGATTAGCACTATCTGAAATTATTCTAAGGTCAAAAGTCAAGTTTTCCAAGCGTTGACTTATCCCAAGTGAATTAACCCGAAGTTTACTTAACACAACGCTTACTAAAACGCTTACTATTAGGTTGTCCTGAAATAAATGAGCGTTTTGTAATGTTTATTATTTGGGTACATGTTTCTCAATAAAGTATGCTCTGTACCTTGTAATGTTATATACGATTAGAAAGCTGAGTTTGTGCTCTCTTTAACCATACTTTTAAAATGTTGAAAATAAAATTTTAGATAGATATTGGGTTGGGGAGAATGAGTCGGCGCCGAAAATCAAAGAAATTTCTAAAACTTATAGCAGACTTTGTCAAATGATATGCGTTTGATATCCGTAGAAGGGTGACTAATTCTCTACAAAATAATATTTAAAAGAGAACTCAAACAGCGCCTCAACTCAACCAAGGATCATTTTTTTCACAAAATCGATAAACTGTCATCTAGAGTAAACGGTTGGAGGGATCTTCCTGAAAATTTGGTAACTTATGTAATTGAGTGTGCTCTATCTTTTTTATATAAACACCAAAGGAGGTTTATGTGGAAGAAACTGTTCAAGCAATGAGTCGGACTTTTTGTCATTTTGATTAGCTGTGTTTGGGAATCCATAAAATCCCAAAAAAGAAAAGCTTTGTGGAGTCTCTCAAAAGCCATTTTGTAAAGAAATAGTGGACCATTTTGATGAAACAAAACGTGTATTTAAAGAAGGTTTTATGGGTGCAAAAAGTTTCTTTAAATTTCGGCGCCGACTCATTCTCCCCAACCCAATAATTCGACGTTTTAGATGTCCGAAACCAACTTTCGCCAGATTTTCTTTTATGAGTTCAAACTCTGTCGCAATGCAGCTGAAACGGCTCGTAACATTAACAAAGTTTGAGGCCAAGGCAGTGTCGGCGAGTCAACAGTGCGACTTGGTTCCGAAAATTCCGAGCTGGTGATTTTGATCTCGAAGATAAAGAAGGCCGTGGCCGTCCTGTTGAACTCGGTGACGACGAACTGAAGCAAATCCTCGTCCTGGTGGAAGCAAATCCACGCACGACTATTCGAGAGCTTGCGGAGAAGTTTGGCGTGGACAAGACGACCATCTCCGACCACTTGAAACGGATTGGATTCGATTAATAAAGTTTTGTTTGGATCAATTTATGGGATTTTAAATATTCGAGTTGAAAACGCTCATTTATTTTCGGATAACCTAATAAAACGCTTACTAAAACGCTTACTAAAACGTTTCTCACTAAATCCTGATCCAAATTTACTGAAAATTTGTGTACAAGGGTTTTCGGGGTCGGGGAATTCGAATCCAATCTTAGTGTTAACCTACAGTAATCCCAAATGCTCTTAATAAGCAAGTCTCAGCGATTTTGAGGTTCTCAGCGAGTTCTCAACTTCGACATTAAAGAAACCTGTTTCCTACTTGACCGATTTTGATGCTTTTGATATCAAAAGATCCCCTGAGATCTCTTCTAATCTAAAGTGAAGAGAGATCGCATAAATGTTGAAAAATAACAAAGTTATTAATTTTCTTGTGAAAAAATCCCGCTTATTTCGAAAAATTTCTACCGTGCGGGTATTTCTATAAAAAATTTTCATTTTTACATAATCGCGCGGCTTCTGGCACAGGGTTTTGATATATATGCACTGTAAACGTAAAATGTTTTTCTTTATTTTGATCACTTTTGATTTATTGGGTTGGGGAGAATGAGTCGGCGCCGAAAATGAAAAAAATGTCTAAAACTTCTATTCGACTTCGTCAAATAATATGCGTTTGATATGAGTAGAATGGTTAACTAATTCTCTACAAAATGACATTTAAAAGAAAATTCAAACAGCGCCTCCGCTCAAGAAAAAGCCATTTTTTCACAAAAACTACAAACTGTCATCTAGAAAAAACCATTGGTGGGATCTTCCTGAAAATTTGGCAACTTAAGTAATTGAATGTGCTCTATCTTTTTTATATAAACACCAAAGGAGGTTTATGTGGAAGAAACTGTTCAAGCAATGAGTCGGACTTTTTGTCATTTTGATTAGCTGTGTTTGGGAATCCATAAAATCCCAAAAAAGAAAAGCTTTGTGGAATCTCTCAAAAGCCATTTTGTAAAGAAATAGTGGACCATTTTGATGAAACAAAACGTGTATTTAAAGAAGGTTTTATGGGTGCAAAAAGTTTCTTTAAATTTCGGCGCCGACTCATTCTCCCCAACCCAATAATTACCCAGCTTTTCTTTGGCAACATAAAATTTAGTGTTTGCGTAGGTATTTTGTGTTAGTATTTCGGTTGCATACGGTTTTCCCATCCCGGAAAATCCCCGGGTGCACGTTTCAGCTCGTTCTAATCTATTTTCCAGCTAAAGTACGCGCTACTACTATTCCAGCCTTAGGGGCTGAAAACTAAAACCGGATTCGAATTCCGCACCCGAAAAAGCTTGGGTAAAAATTTTCAGATCTGCAGCTAGCATAGAACTCTGTCCTTGAATCGATGTCACTGAATGGCCAGCTAAGCGAAAAATGGCTTCGTTGTGTCAAAATCAACCCACCCGATCCTCAACATCAATTTCCCAGAACTCGGGAATCGCTCGAACCCAATCGAGTACATAAACGAATCCTCGAGCATAGAGTCGCCCCGCAAGAGTTGGCATGTGTTCTTTGGGGATTGGAGGTGCAGTTGCTGGATCCCATTGGATCTAAAAACTTGATTTAAGTATTAAACACGTAAATTTGAACCAATTAGTTATCAAACTTACCGGAACTCTTGGACAAACAATTGCTGGATTCTGCAACGCATCACTTATCGATACATCCAGACAATAGGTGAAATCGTAATTCAGGAGTTTGTTTGGGTCATCATTGAGTAGGACTCTGAATGAGTGTGCGTCTGAAGAATGCGTCTGGAAGTGCTACACTTACTGCTGTAAGCTGACAAGTGCTTTGATGATAGTAAAAGAGTCGGCTTGATCTATAAGGTGATGAGGTTGGGCGTGGAGCCTTGCAGCAATTTGGTGTTCGGCCTAAAAACTTTGTTTTTTCAACGTTGTAATCTATAAATGATGGTTTTCTAAAGCAAACCTCACAGGTAAAGAACACAGTAATCCAGGAACATTTCCATAAAATGGGAAAAATCCCAGTAACCAAATTTCTTTCAAACCAAAAAACCAGCTTAACACGGCGTTTTGGGGCTGATTTATCATGACAGCGAGCATTATCGCTTTGGCGCAGTCAGGAGCGCGTTGGTCTACGGCCCACACGTTCCTGGTTCGACTCCCCGTACTGCCACCCACTTCTTTCATTTTTAATTTTTACTGTAGACTTTTGTAGACCTCAACAAATGCAACAAAATGACACCAAAATCATAAAGATTGGTCCACTTTGGAGGAAGTTATGGCGAATTGCGTAAACCAGTTGCGCAAAGAATTTGACGCAAAGTAACTACCGCCAAATGGAAAAATCAGTTTGTTATATGAAGAAAAAACTGCTGATTGAACCGCTTGGAAGGAAAGAATTAAAGATATTCAGTTGTCCAACTGAATAACATACAAACAGATGTTGAACTCACCGTTATTGATTGACTAGCTACGGCAGATTGCGGACACACTTCGACTTGTTGCACAGATGATTTCCCACGTCCTTTCAGTCCAATATGCGCTCGTTGCTCTCTCAACTTGCAACCACTTCTTCGCGCCGTCACTGACAAATTCTAGGTGATCGTTTTAGGTTGACACCGATTTTAAGGTGATTTCAGAAATCTTTCAAAACAGAAGATGGTATTTTAAAAATCTCTTGAACCTCTTTAAAGTCTCTGATTTTGGTTACTCACTTGTCGGCAGCATTCCCGCATTCAGACATTTTTCGTATCGACACGCGGCACATCTTGGTTTACCTAAAATCGTTTCATTTTTTGAAAACAAATATCCAATGCTTAGCTACCGAATTGCACTCGAAAATCGAATGCCAAGCAGAGCTTTTCGTTTTGGCAGCGCGGTAAAGCGCCAACAGTGCACGCTCGTAGGAAGAAAATCTTGCAGCTGCTGAAAATAAATGTTTATGATATATTTGATTCAAAATGCCTTCAATAATCCATTCATACGGTGTGTTCAAATCTAAGAAAAGGGATTTGGTTTAATCCTATGAATTCGAATCAGAAAAAGATTGGCAAGCACTTGAAACACTGGCAGTTTTGGTTTCAAAAGCAGAAAATTGTTCTCATTGCTTAGAAATAAAACTTTGCAGGAAATTCAGTAGAAACAAGGGCTCGGGGTTTTTTTTACCAAACTTTTTACCATCTAGCAATTTTACGAAACAAATTTAGCAGCTTAGCATTTACCAATTTTGCAAAATCAATTTAGCAACTTACTATTGGGTTGTCCAGTTATGACTGCGCGTTTTTTACTATTTTGTAAATTTCTCAAGATACCGAAATCAAGAAAAAGATATATATGAGTTTTATTCGAAAGCTGAAGATCTCCTCTACATTTTGATATAAAAAGTTTTTGAATTTGTTCAGCTTTTGGGCAAATTGACTGCACAGAAGAAGAGGTGGCCAAAAAATGGAAGGGTGCCTTTGGATCAAGTTTTGGCTCTGCTCAAATCGAGTTAACCGTTTGATGTTTGGCCAATAGATATATCAATACAACTTTTTTTAAAATATAACAATTTCAGAGCATCTTTACTTTTCTTTTCTTTTCTGGGCGGTTATTTTAAACCATAAAACTTGAGGAATAGCTAAGCTGAAATGGTTTTTTTCGAAAACGACCTCTCCCTTTGTGCAGTCAATTTCCCAAAAAAGTTGAAAGAATTCAAAAACTTTTTTATTCCAAAATGTAGAGGAGATCTTCAGCTTTCGAATGATATATAACACTCATATACATCTGTTCGATATCTTGAGAAATTTACAAAATAGTAACCTTGAGAAATTTACAAAGTAGTAAAAACGCGCATTCATAACTGGACAACCCAATATTATTTTACAACTTACAACTTACTATTTAACAACTTTGCTAAATGCTAAATGCTAAATACCACAATAGTTTTGTTAAATTTGGCAAAATTGAGTTTTGTTTCTTGTAGACTGAATATTCTGATGCCGCCAGATAAAGCTCAGTCAGAGAGCCAAAAACAAACATCGTTTAGTACTAAATTCAGCAAAATTTTGTTAAATCGAAATACTTTGGTGGACTCTTTGAATTTTGCAAAACAGAAGTTTACTAAATTTAGTTTGGTCCACCAAAAAAATTTTGCTAAATTTATGGGTATTTATCGATTATACAGGCTGTTTTTATGCAAATTTTATCAAACAATATCAAAAAAAAGTGATAAACTTGAACGTTTTTTACTAATAATTTGATTATTACTTGATTATTAGTTGATTATTAGTTGATTATTAGTATATTATTTTTTGCCATGGCGATTCTAAGGGGTTGGGGTACCCGTGCGGTAAATCCTAGCGCCGCTCCCCAACTTTGCATGGCGTAAACTTTTTTATGCCACTTTTGAAAAAAGCCGAAATGAAAGATGAGGAGTTTTGCTTGATGAAGAATATCGTTTTCTTTTCAACAAGTAAAGTTTAACTTTGAGAATTTCATAACTCGATCGTTTTTAGCGCTCGGCTTACAGGAAAAAAGCGTGAACGTTGCCCGGAAAGCATTCAACAAATACTCTTGGCTACTTATGCAAGCAAGTTTTGATGGTCAAAATTCAAAATGAGGTATGATTTCAGCATCTAATTACCCGATTTGGAAACGAGGCAATTACTGTGCAGAGATTCTCCGATCTGATGGCAATACCTGTGCATCTACAAGTGAGGATTTAAATTGAAAAACTCGATAAGAAAGCTTGTGTTTTACTTTTGAACCTAACTAAAAGTTACTATCTTTTAACAAAGTATAATAAGAAATCTTATTAGTATAGTAAGAAGCCTAGTAAGTTGATTGTTTAAAAGTTTTTTTGGCTTGACTAAAACACTTGTTCAAAACTATTGGGTTGGTGAATCGAAAACTGCCGGACTTTGAACTAAAATTTATTCAACATAAAACCATCAATTCATTCCAAATAATTTCCATTATTATTGACGACTTCTGCCCATTTTAAAGGCAATTTGCGGATTCCTCTTTCGTAGTAGAATTTTGGTTTGTGTGTGAGACAAGTGTGAGACTCAAAAATGGAGAACTGGAGATATCAGCCGTCAGCCCAGTTTGAGCACTTTCTTCAAAAGAAACCCATTTTGGTGTCAATAGAAAAGTTGTAGAGAATCAAAAATTAGGCTTATAGCCAAATTTTCAAAAAGATACACTTAGTAGTTTCGCTTAAAATGTGAAAATTCGTAAATTTGGCATTTCTTGAAAACCAGTTTTTGAATCGTTCTGAAAATTTGGATATAAGCTTAATTTTTGATTCTCTACAACCTTTCCATTGACACCAAAATGGGTTTCTTTTAAAGAAAGTGCTCAAACTGTCACATATGACAATAGCCGGCAGTTTTCAATTCACCAACCCAATAGTATAGTAAGAAGTCTAGTAAGTTGATTGTTTAAAAGTTTGTTTGTCTTAATTAAGACACTTGTTCAAAACTATTAGGGTAATGGGAATGAAATCAGTGCTCACATATCTTTCCAAAAGTAAAGAGATTGCAAGCCTCAGCCAATAAGTGTTGTATACTGTTCGAAAGCTCTGAATCTCCTCTACAAAATAGTGCAAAAAGATTTTGAATTGAATTGATGCCTGTTCATATGCAAATTGCGCTACTCAATTTGCATTTAACTGTCTTACATCAAACAGTTTGGGAGTTCTCGAATTTCGCAACTTTCTTTCCGCAACTCTCTATAACTTGCGTTTCCGTGGGTCAATTTTTATGACATTGGTACCATTTTGTAGATCTTGTCAAGTGCAACAAAATGGTATCAAAAGCATAGCAGCTGAATAACTTGAGATTTGCGTTTTGTTTTTCTATTTCTATGCCCGATACGCAACTTTGTCCTCAATAAAGTAAAGAAATGAATGGCAAAGAATTTGGAACCGAGGGGGACACTTTGAAAATGTGAAAGTTCATGTATGTACAGTGGAAGCAACTAGGGAAATTCCGCAACTCGCTATAACTTGCGTTTCCGTAAGTCAATTTTTATGACATTGGTACCATTTTGTAGATCTTGTCAAGTGCAACAAATTGGTATCAAAAGCATGAAAATTGACCAGAAACGCAAGCTATAGCGAGTTACGGAATTCCCCTAGTTGCGGAATTCCAGGGCCCCAACAGTTTAGCTGTAAAGTTTCGATCTTGAAATTTGAAATTTTCAAAGGATTGAAGTAAGTTGTTGATCAAAAATGCATACAAACATCGCGAAAGAACAGAAAGTTTGCCTATAAAACATAAAAACTCCGTGTGTTTACCCAATAATCAGCCCCGATTCTTTAAAAACTGCATAATTGCCCTGTTTTTTTGATATTTTGCTGTACACTTCAAAAAAGCCACTTCGTATATTTGAGAAACGCGAATGTAATCGATAAGTACCAATTAAGCTTATTTTGCTAAATTTAAAAGTTGAGATCCGGGCCGAGGACAAAAGAAGAAGCAACTCACTGGCAAGCGATTGCTCCATAGACTTTCACTCCGGGAATCGCTCCACATACCATGCAGATCTTCACCTCATCGTTCCCAGTCGTCAATTCAATGATCTCCTCTTTGATCTCCTGATGAAAAGCCATTGTAAATGCGGAATGAAATGGAAATTCTTCGGGAGAAGTGCAAAATTGAAATTGTCCGGTTGCTCAGGGTGACGGGGTGATCTGTGAGATTTGTGTCGAGAAATTCCCTCCTTTCTTTTGGCAGAATCACCTGGGAATTAAATATTCGGTACTTCGTATTTCGAAGAGGGAAAAAGGATGAGATTAGTGAAGTGTGGTCCAGCAATTTCCTACTTAAATCTCATTTCCAGTACAATAGGTTCACACAAAATCGCATAATCACATGAGTTTCTCCTTTCCACAAGATTTACATTGCATAAAACATAAAGAAATAACATAAACAGTCACAAATTCGACTTTACATTCAAATTATGACTGTAAAAAGCTGAAAAAATAACTTTTTTTAAGGAAAACTGGATCAATCTAAATCAAAAAAGGTAAAAATCGAGCTTAACTTAAGAGAAACTTGACAATTTATTGATTTCTAAGAAAATCTCAAATGAAATTTCTGGCTGGAAGCCAAAACTGATAGTTATTTGATGGATGGGGATTCAAATAATCCGAAAAAACTCACTAAATCTCCCATTTATTACCTTTTTTTCAGAATTTCATTTCAAAAGGATGGACGTCATTCGGATTATGTAAGAGAAAAGCTCTCAAATGAAATTTCTGGAAAAGTTTAAAAGATAGAAAATATGGAAAAAGGAGAATCAAGAAAAGAAGTTAAAAATTATCAGTAATTTTTATGTTGACAACGAGTTTGACAACTAATTTCTGTACTTTCATGAAAATAAAGTCAAATTTTCGAGTTGCTTTCCGATATTCCAACGAAAATTAACAATTTTAATGAACTTAACAAGCAACTTGGGCACTTCAATGAGCTTTTTCTATAATAATTTTCAAAAGATAGATTCTTCAAGCGATTTCAAAAGCGATTTCAAGTTAAACAATGTCGGATGAGGAGGAAGTTATCTCGAAACCCAAGTATCTTCTGGTAGAATTCAAACAGCTGGAATTGCTTCAACATTTTCACATTTGTGGTGGGGCAGTGGGAAAACTGCCGGAAAAGGGAGACACATTTAGTGGACGGAAAACGGCACAAACTTTACGCCACAACAAGATGCTCGTGCCAAAAGTATGATCGCATTCGTTGGTCAGCTCAAAAATTGATCGAGGCCACTGGGACTCAGACTGGAAATCTTGCGTCACGGCTGCGGCACAAGTTAATTTGAGCTCAAAATCGAGTTTATTCACATTTCGCGTGGCCAGCTTTCGCTTTCTAGGGCTTTTTTCTGTATTTTATATTTTCTTTTGGGTTTTTGGTGCTTTTATGTGTCATAAAAGTTTCATTTCAGGTTAAACAATGTCGGATGAGGAGGAAGTTATCTCGAAACTCAAGTATCTTCTGGTAGAGCTGAAATTGCAGCGGGAATTGCAGCTTGAACCGCTGGAATTGCTTCTTGAACATTGTCACATTTGTGGTCGGGCACTTAGTGGGAAAACTGCCGAAAAAGAGCTTGAGTAACATTCAGTGGACGGAAAAAGTAGTGAAAAAAGTGGAAAAATAGTGAATGAGGCTATTGAAAGAAAAAATAACCGCAAGGAAATCGACGAGATGATGAAAATCCAGAGAATGAAGTGGAATCTCTCCAAAAATTTGGAGAGATTTTGAACTTGAGTGATGTTGATTCAAATGATGAGTAACTTTTGGTGGATGGTTATACTAAAAGTTTAAATTATCCCTTTGTACATATTCGATGGTTTTTCTGTTTGTTTTCTCCATTTTATTTGTTCTTTATGAATGGATTTAGGTGTCTGCCGATCTCTAAAGGAATTTTAAGCCTTTCTCTCATTATGGGCAAATTTTTGGTATCAACTTTTGCCTTAAATTTGCTTGTATTTTTGCTAGAAATTTTGTAACCTGTTGAACCAGCTGAGAAACTCAAGGACGAATGAAACTCGTTTGCTCATTCGAGATACATGAGGATCGATATGGGAATGGGAATGGGAATCGAATGAAACGACCTGAATCTCTCCAAATTTCTCACTCATTGCTTTTAATTCATTCTCTGGATTTTCATCATCTTCGATTTTCTCGTGGTTCTTTTAATATCTAATAAATTATTGATAAACCTTTTAGTCATTCTTACATGAAAATTCGTCAAACAAAACTAGACCTTCACACCCAATAATTCCGAATAATTTTAGTGAGCAATCGGTCTCAATTCGGACCCCTCCTTTAGGCATTTGAATTTGAATCAGAAAAATTTTGGAACTGGCATCTATATGAGCTTAAATGGTATTTTGATTGGTTGGGGTTTCATTTAAAGAGATAGGGAACCAGATTTAAAGAGATAGGGAACCAAATTTAAAGAGATAGGGAATTTGAGAGATCTCCGTGAATATATGAGTCCGAAAACGCGAACGAAATATCTACGAGCCATTATAGCTTCTACGAGCCATGATAGCTTCCAAGTGAGTTAATAAAAGTGATGTTGTCGATGGCAAACTGAGTTACTAACATTGATAACAGCACTACCAAATCTAAGATATAAGTCAAAATTTAGCTAGCAGAAATATTCAACCAAAAGTTAAACAAGTTTGGTTCAGGTGAGCTAATTAATTAATTAATTAGTTAATTAGTTAATTAGTTGCCGTATTCTCTCTAATAGTAGTGCGCACTACCATTTTTTGAACCCCCTCCTGGACCGCAATACTATTAGAGAGTGCACTACTATTAAAGAGTTTTATCATTTACCAAAGTAAGGCAGATATAAGATTTGTTCCAAAAATTCTTGCAATTCTTTCACGTACTCCTTTGGCTCCTTTTGACATAAAGTTGTGGGCCGGCGAGTTGACAATTTGTGTCTTGGCATAAATGCAATCTTTTTAATCTTTTCTTTCTTCTAAATAAGCCAATCTTTATGATTTTGGTTTCATTTTGTTGCACTTATTGAGATCTACAAAATGAAACCAAAATCATAAAGATTTGTCCACTTAGAAGCAAGTTATGGCGAGTTGCGCAAACGACCAAACGATGCAAACGAAAATGGCGGAAATTAGTCTACCCCGTCATGACGTCAGAAAAATTTTACCAACATCAAAGGTGCGCGTGGGCCATATAACCGCGCACTTCTAAAAAACCTAGGTTTCAGAGCTAGCGTTTCCATTGACCAAAACACAAAATTAAAAAGAGTTCCCAACCAACTTTTTGCGTAGAATTCAGAAATTTGCTTTTTGAGCCTAGTTTATCAGCTAGATTTTCGTGAAAAAAATTATTTTGACTTTTCGGCGCAGAATATGGAAAAATTTCATGGAAAAATAGAATTCCACAAAAACTCAATTCAGTATTCTGAAAGAGCGTGAAAAGAGCTATTGAATGACATATAACACTTTATGGTTCGTTTTCGGATTATTTTATTTTTTCCGTTCATTTTTTGGGCCTAACTTAAAATTTGTAGTGTTCGGATTTTTGATTTAAAGAAAAAAAATTTACATTGGGGTGTAATCGATGTGCGTGGACCAGGCGCTGCGCCGTCAAGGTGTGGATACGGCGTCGACAAAATTCCTCCACGACAACGCTCGGCCGCATGTCGCAAAAATCACCCAGCAGAAAATTGAAGAAATGGGCTGGGAAGTCCTGCCTCATCCGCCATACAGCCCAGACTTGGCGCCTTCCGACTACCATCTGTTCGGATCAATGCACCACTCCTTGGCCGAGAAAAGTTCAAGAACCGCGACGAGGTCCAAATTTGGGTGTCCAACTTCTTCGAGTCGCAGCCGGTCGAGTTCTTCAAGAAGGGCATCCATTCTCTGCGTGAACGTTAGCGACAAGTCATTGATGCAGATGGCGAATACCTTTTGGATTAATGTATTGTTATCTTGTTTTTATAATAAAATAAACTTTTAACGAAAACGCGCATTTCTTTTTTACCAACCTAATAGTAGTGCACTTTATGGTTCGATGAAATTTCACGAACATCAAAGTCGCCGCCTTTAATTCTGAAATTTTGGATAAACGTTTTCGGATTATTTTATTTTTTCCGTTCATTTTTGGGCCTAACTTAAAATTTGTAGTGTTCGGATTTTTGATTTAAAGAAAAAAAAATTTACATTGAGGTGTAATCGATGTGCGTCATTCATTTTCATTTTTCCTGCGTCTTTGCTGCTTCAATCTCAGTACTAATTTAACTTTTTACTTTCTATTTTATTTTTAAATTAACTTCTTATTTTCAGCTAAGACCGCTAAGACCCAAATAATGTTTCTTCTTTAGAAGATGTCGTCGACGATCCCTGCTCCACCCGATGTCGAAACCGACCGACGACGGGACTCATCATCGGACTCATCATCGGACTCATCATCAGACTCATCATCGACGTCGCCTTCGAGAAGCGCGTCAGCACACTCGGGGAGGAGCGATAGCAGGGATAGTCGATCGAGGAGCCGTTCGCATAGCAGCGTGACGTCAAGAGAAGCAACGCCAAAGATAGATCGATCCAGGAGGACCCCGAAGATCTACGAAAACGTGAAGAACATTCCGGCAGCGCCCACTGTCGAGCTGACGCCCAATCAGCCGACCTACCCTCTCCCTGAAGGGAGAACAGGCGGAACGTCAAAATCATCCTACCCCTCAGACAAGGGGCGCACAAAAATGCCACAAAATGGCCGTAGCCGATTTTGATGCCGTTGAGATGCAAACGTCTATCGGACACAGGGAATCCGATGCTGTCTTCGGTTTTTGCCCATATTCAAAAATGTGTCCAAAGTTTGGGTGTTTACTTGGGAAATCGTGCCACGGACTTACAAAGGCTTTTTTCCGACCCTCGAAATGTGGTAGGTGCAGATGGCTTCGTGGTAGGTGCCGATCTTCTTTTTGCTTTTTGTCACAGTGTCACAGAGTCTGCGTCTCTTCAACGAGGCATTTTCCGGGTCTCAGAACGAAAATCCGTTGTCTATCAAAAGAAATGTTTGGAAAAGAATCCCTAAAATTGGCTAGTATTGATTGAATATCTAAATATAT